TCCAGTGTGTGGATGGAAAGTCACCTAAAAGAGGTGACTCACTCACGTGACTCAAGTCACAACGCAGAAGGTTGTCCATGAACATGCTAAATATAATGCAGGTGCCCTGGGTGCCATCTCCAGGGGGAATCAGGGAAGGTTTTGGGTGACTGCGTGTCCTCTGAAGAAAGAAAATTACTGGGAAGAGTGGGGATGGACTGCATACAGTTTACAAAAGGAGAATTCAGACAGACCCCCCTGGATGGTGTATCTCAAGTGCTGTCCCTGGAACCTGCGTCCCTGTTCCCCATGTCAGGCACACACCCAGAACGCAGCTGTGCTGCAGCCTTCCAAGCTCCGCCTTGTGGTGCTGGGACCTGGGACTCTGCAGCTTACTTTGCTCTTTTGTCAGCCACTAGGGGGCTCTGGGAGGTAGAGGCTCCCCGGAGACACTTGTTTGTTCCTTTTGCTTGCTGTTTTTATCATCTGAGCAATGGCCCTTCACTCTGGTAGCTGCAGTTGGCTCCAGGCCAATGTCTTTCTGTGTTCCCAGAATCAGACTCATGGCACCCTGACAGAGGTGCCAGCTGTAGTGGGGCAGCAACCCGTCCTCCGTCATCCAAGTGCCAGCTCTGCAGGGCCCCTTCTTCCAGCTTCCGAATTCCCATAATGCCAATCTCTTCCCTTCTAACTCCCAGCTTGCTTCCTGCAGATAGCATCCTTGTGCTGAACTCATTCCCTATATCAAAGGCTCTCTGTTGAAATGCCTGAGGTGGTTTCTGTTTTCCTGTTTGGACCCTGACTACCGACACAAATACTGGATGGTACCAGCCAGTCACACTCTATCGGCCGACAAATTCCACCATGAACAGGAGTGCGCGCACCTGTGTTCCTGTCTATCATGTAGCACTCTGAACTGTCTTCTCACGTAGAAGTCCTACAGGGGCATCTGTTCAGTGAACACATGAAACTTGTCCAGTGCACTTGAGAGTCATATTTTTCCTTGGAATGCTGTCCTTACATACTCAGGCTCAGCCTTCTTCTGGCTGTGGAGACGGGGTCGCTCATGAGACACCAGTGGTGTGTCCTGCACGTGCCTGGTGAGGGTCAGACCCTGAACCGAGTGACTCCAACAGGGCGAGGACGCCCGACCGGCTGGCCAGTTCACCTTGTGCGCGTCATCTGATTTCGCCTCACATGGGTGCCGTACGTGAAAATACTTTTCTTTAAATGACAGTAGCTGATGTTGAAAGATGTGTCTTTTCTGAGAAAACATGTTCTTTTCTTTTAATTCTTCTCCAATTAAAACTTCTCTGAAAATGCCTTCGACATCAATGACCAACACAGTTAACCTAGCTCATCTCAGGGAGCAGTTTAATTTTATTTGTGTTTTAATACACCTCTAATTTGTTTAGATCAAAGGGCTCAAGCCTTGATGTTAGAGTCTCACTGAGGACCTCTCAGTGGGAAGGGGCAGAGCGAGGCGGTCACACCCCACTACTGAAAATCCTGCAAACAGCCGTCTTCTCTAGCTGCCCTGTAAGCTGGCGCTGACATAAAGGCATGTTCAGTCCCACACAGTTCTTCTCTGTCCCTTGCCAGACCACAGCTGATCTCCTTTCTGCCAAAGCTGCAGCGGGGCGCCCTGGGGGAGGCCACAGGGCACCTACACATGCCATAACAGCTGTCTTTGTAAAGCCGAGCAAACGTTTGCCTCTGGTTGGCAGAGCTAATGCGCAGAGCTGCCTTTGCGCACGTATTCATGCGCACCTCCGCTCCGCGCGGTGCTGGAGCTGCCACCGTCCGGTCTGGACTCATGGGGCCGGCTGAACACGCCGGAGTCCATGGCCTCCCCCACGCGTCTCTGCAGACAGGTGTCCCCAGGCATCTTTCGTGGCTTTCACAGACAGAGGCGGTGGCGCAGAAGTGAGTCTCCCGATTCTAGATGTTTCCAATACTCAGCCCATAGACAAGAAGTTATGCCTCATGCTAATTCACTCCTTTGAACAGGGGTGTTGCCAGAGTATGTATGAAATGACAGCCCCAAGTAAGATTTAACAGTAAACCAAGGTATGAAATGCATTTAATGGGAAGGTACAGAGAAAAGGACCCATGTTGAGAGTCTGGGGACTCTTTTCAACTCCGGGTAAGGTTTGCTACGTTCCACTCATGAACTTGCACAGTTGGCTAAATCTTTTAAGACAGCCATCTTCTGGGCTAGAGTTTTTTCAGGCTTCCTTACACGCCCTCTGTATTGGTTTGCCGGGGGCTACTTTAACAAAGCGGCACGAATCAGGTGGCTAAAATAAAGGAATTGATTATCTCATAGTTCTGGAGGCCAGACGGCCTGAGATCAAAGTGTCTGCCCAGCTGGATCCTTCTGAAGGCTCTGTGGGGGAACTGCTCCATGCCCTTCCGCTCCATTCTGCTTGTTGGTTGGCAGTCTTTGGTGTCCCCTGGCTGGTAGCTGCTCACCTTGACCCCTTCTTCTATTTTCACATGGCATCTCCCTATGCGCGTGTCTGTCTCTGGGTCCAAAATTCTCCTCATTACAAAAACACAGTCATATCTGGGTGGGGCCCACCCTAATGAACTCATCTTAACATGACCATCTACAAAGACTTTATTTCCAAACAAGGTCATTCCCACGGGTGCTACAGGCTAGGACTTCCACATCTTTTTGGGTGACACATTTTGACTTGTAACTCTCTGACTGCAGAGTCCAGGGGGCAGGCCTCCTGAGCTATGAGCTGGCCTTCTGTCTGCGGTCAGCCTGTCATTGGTCTTTCCCTGCTTCTCCGGAGGAAGGCAGGACAGATGGAGGCAAATCCTGCGGACCCTTTCCCAGCTGGGTCACCTGAGACAAATCGCTTTACCTCTCCGAGCCTCTGTTTCTTGTCTGTAGGATGAGAATGGTAGGTTTGCTGGAGAAGTCAGTGAGCTGAAGAAAAGAAGTACTTGGCTGGCACGTGGTAAGTGCTCACAAAATTATAGATGTTGTTATTATTTATCCTCGTTAAGTCAGGGAGAGAATGAGTAAGTAACTTCCAACCCTGGCTGCCCATTAGGATCTTGTCAGTGAAGGTTTTAAAAGCTGTTGGTGCCCAGGCCCCACTAGCGATTCTGACTCAATTGGCCTAGGATGGAATCCAGACAGTCGTATATTTAGAAGTTCCCTGGCTGATCTTACCATGCAGCCAAGAATTGAGAACTGCTAGAACAGAGGGAAGGATTGCAAACACCCGTGGAAAGTCTCATTGCGGCTGAAAGCCAGGAGAGGTTGACTTGTAGCCACTTAGCCAGATGGTCCAGGCTGTGGGAGCTGCCAGAGGCAGCTCTTAGAAAACTGGTGAATGGGGTGACCTAGATTTCAAAGCCATTCCTTTGCTTTGTGGTCTCCCTGAAAATGTGGTTCCAGGCTCCTCTGGTGAGGGAGCACCCCTCCTCCACCCACTGAGACGTCACTTGGGGTCTTTCCTATCACAGCAATAATCCATCCACCTATCTGTTCACAGGCCCCAGGTGCTCTCCTTCCTGTCTCCACTGAGTCAAAGCCAGGTATCTTGGTGTGGTCCCCTCCCCATGTGCCAAGAGCACAAAAGGCAACGAGGAGACTTTGCAGAACTGAGGGAAGCCTTCTGGAATGGGCCTGGCAAAGTGTCCTTCCTCCCACCCAAGGGGAACCACTTGCTTCGAATCTGCATGACTCCCGAGGCCCCTACATCAGCACGCCACAGAGCTTCTCCTTTACAGAATACCTCTCTGTCTCTCATTCCACCATCAGCACCAAATCCTTTCAACGCATCCATGTGGGCTCTGGAGGCAGCTGTCTGGCTCTTGGAGGAGGGACACAACTTGCGTCAGGAGATGGAGTTGGTTCCCAGGCCCCTCTGTTGAGTGAGGAGGGCAGCTGTGAGCGGCCCTGGCACACTCTTCCTCTCTCCAGCTGCTCTGTCTCATCATCCTCAAGCCTGGATTCTCTGAACCTGTGCCCCCTTGTCCACTCGGCACCAGACACTTGCCACTTATCCAAGCCCCGTAAGTCCCAGGGTCTTTTCAGTCCTTCTGGGACAGGGCCAGTGACTTCTTAGGAAGTGAGTGAATGAGTAATATTAAATGAAATATGTAAATAGAAGCAGTTTTTAATGACAAGCCTATATAACTTCTCTTGACTTGTTATCACAAAGAGATTGGGAATGTCCAATTGCTCTTCGGCCGAATTAATAAAAGGGTAGCACGCAGAATAAAGGACATGGGAATTCTCTCCCTCCTGATGTAGGTGGAGTAGCGTGTTTGGTTTGGTGTTTTCCATTTGTTCAATTTCCATCAAGAATATGCCAGAAGGAAGAGTAGCCAGAGACGATCTTTGAACACAAAGCAGGCTGTTCTGTCTCCCTCTGACAACTTGGTTAGTTCTAAGAGTTAACTTTGGCTTTTGGAAACTCAGGGAGGAATGCATTTGCCAAATGTTTGCAAACTCAGGGGAAGCACATTTGCTAGGCCAAGGAAATGCATTTGCTGAGCCCAGAGACTCAGTCTGAATCTAGTCCAGTGCTCTGGTTACCCGATGGCCTCTGCTGCTGGTGTCCGGAAGGGGAAATGAGCTACTTCAAGCCGACCACAGGGGAAATATTAGCTTTTGAGAGAGAGTGCAGGAGCTCTCTCCATTTCCCTGAATGCGCTCTCACTGCCGTTTCAGACAGATTGGTGCAGCTGAGCCCGGATTTCCTGGCAAGCCCGAGGGGATGCTTCTCCAAAAGGGTCTCAGTCTGCGGAGGCACAGCCTTTCCGTGTCTCATCAGGAAAGCAAGTCCCAGACACATGCTCCCTGTTTCCAGCTGGTTCCCTTTGCACTTCAACAAGAAACGTGCCAAGGTGTGACGTTTATGAACCCCAGCCGCCGGGAGCCCTGCACACAAATCCGTTTGGCCTGTGATGTGGGGAAGTGATGAATGGGCTGTTCTGCGTTCCCTCTGGCAGGCCTGCAGCCTTATTTATTGCACACCAAAGTATAAAACCACCCGGCCGGCTGCAGCTCTCGGCTCCAGCCCTGGCACTGGCCCGAGGAGACCACGGCGTCTGGAGCCCCGGCTGTCTTCTCCAGCAGGCTCCGTGGCTCTGTTGAGAATCATGCCGGGGCAGCTGATCTGTTGGCACCTGCTGGCTTTGTTTTTCCTCCCATTTTGCCTGTGTCAAGATGAATACATGGAGGTGAGCGGAAGAGCTAATAAAGTGGTGGCGAGAATAGTGCAAAGCCACCAGCAGACCGTCCATGGTGGCTCCCGGAGGGAGAAAGTGAGAGAGCGGAGCCATGCTAAAACTGGGACTGTGGATAATAACACTTCTACAGACCTAAAACCCCTGAGACCAGATGAGCTACCGCACCCCGAGGTAGATGACCTAGCCCAGATCACCCCACTCTGGGCCCAGGTACTCAGAATTCTCTTCTAAGGATTGACTGGGAAAGTGTTTGTGAGTTTGCCTGTTCTTGCTCTGTTTCGGCTACGATTCTGGGGGTGAATGCTTCTGAGGACCTTGCTGAGCTGCTTGTGGGTCTCTTTTTGGGTTGGTCTGTGTGATGAGGGGGACTGTGGGTTTCTGTTAGAAAACCAGCAGAGGTGGCATTGATGGCTTGGGATAAAGAGAGGCTGCGGTGTCGCCCCATCAAAAAGGACAATAGGGGCCGCGAGCTCCCTGCTAGGCTGCGACTCAGTCCTTCTTCCCTTGTCTGGACAGCAGGAGTGCTGGTCTACAGAGAGCCAGCCCATGACCGTGGGCAGTCATTTGCCGATCCTGAGAGAGCTGGACTTAATCGTCCCCGGCAGGGAGAAGCTTCCCTTTGAGTTTTTCACTTTGCTTCCAAAGTTGACCGTGATGTTTTACAAGGCTTGTTGATCTGATTTTCAGCATTCTAGGTGGCTAAGTGTCTGTGTCCAGCCTGTTTAAAAAAGATGCAAAGCATTAAAACAAAGACTGTGTATATTTAAAATGTGAACCGTATTGTATGATTTAATGCCTGATAACCACAGAGGGTGTGCTTAATTTCTCAGACTGTAAGCTCAGCAATAAGGGGACATCTTTAACTCTTTCAGGGTCCATGACAGTGAGTTCAAGTTTCAGTGCAGTGAAAGGCAAATTTATTTTGAGTGAATCTCAATTTATTTTAAACATCAAGAACAGGGTTTTTAAATGTCTTTTAATAAATTATTTAAAGTTTTTAATTGAAGTATAATTGACATACATTATATTGCTTTCAGGTGAACAGCATAAGGAAGAAATAAATTTTGACTGACTTAGGTATCAAGCACGCTAAAATTGGATGAGGGGGCAAGGAGAGTGACTTTGAATTACATGCTGTTTGACCAAAGAGGTTTTTCCTCCAAGAATTGACAGCTTCTGTGCATTCAAACAGGCCCCCCAAAGGCACATGCAGTTGAAATCTAAATCCCTTCTACCACAGATGGGGAAGTCGGAGTGGAGGCTGGTTACATGACCAGGCCAAAAACACACAGAGAATTATTTGTAGATTGGGAACTAACCAGGGACTTCTAACCACGTAGTTCTGTGGGGCTACCTATGTCGAGAAAAAAATTGCTTCTTTAAGGAGCAGCAGGAGAAATGATAACCTTTAAATACAATCTCTTTTTTGAAAGCTGCTTTCGGAGCTGGTCCTTTCATCTGACAATCTTTTGGCTAAAGGGTGATTGATGCTAATGATGTTTCCCATAGTGAAGAAGACATATTACCTTTGTCCTGGCTTTGATCTGGCCTTTGAATAGACAGGATCTGTGCTGGTTGCTTCCTGGCTGTGGCGGGGTGAGCTCCTAGAAGCAGCAGAAAACAGATGTAGATTGTCACTGATCGTTATTTCTTGGCAACTGACACCCACCAGGCCACTGAAATACGAATTTATTTCTATTCCCCACCACCTTCTAGTCCCCTTAGGCACCTAACATGCTGAAATCAGATAAGGGGGGCAAGAAGCCATTTTCTGGCTGTTTTTGAAGGGGGGGCCTTCGAACTCCCCCAGTTTCCTAAAGTATTTCTAAACAAACCCCCAATGGGGTACCAAGGGGATTTAGTCATCAATATCCTAGACATTTTCTAAACTCTTCTGTGGATGGATGTGTAGATCCACAGTGAATTTAGAATCACACTGGGTTCTTCCTCTTCTCCCCGCTTCCCCCACCCCCATTCTGTTTTAGTTTTCCTTTCTCCCCGTTCATTCTTTCCCTAATCATTTCCTGTGCCTCTGCTGTTTACCCAGCTTTAGGATGGCCATAAATATGCCTCAGCTCTGCTCTCTGATAAGTTCTGAAGGATTCCAATGGAGATAGATGAGCAGGTAATTAAACACATGTGACCAAGTCCGGGCACAAAAGGCAGTTGGGGAAAAAGCGTCAGAGTGGTGGTAGCTGCTGAGCTGGGTCTCAGAGATGAGACAAAAGGATGGATATTCCTGGTAGAAATTTTGTTTTAAAGTACAACAGCCTTGAGAAAGCTTGTGAGGAATGGGTGAGGCTGGAGCCCCTGAGCCACAGAACAAAGATGAGGGATGGTTGTAGGGCTGGGCTGGAAGGCACTCTTGGCCAGTTGAGGAGCTATGATCTTACTTTGCCAGCAAAACTTTGTTTGTTTGTTTGTTTGTTCATAGCAGGGTAGTGAGGTGATTGGATTTGTGTTCTAGAAAGATGACTCTGCCCATGGGGTCCATCATGGAGCAGGGGTGTCCAACTCATGGCCCACAGGCTGCATGCGCCCCAGGATGGCTATGAATGCGGCCCAACACAAAATCATAAATTATGCACAGACCTTTTTATTTTGCTTATCAGTTTTTATTAGTGCTTGTGTATTTAATGTGTGGCCCAAGACAACTCTTCTTCTAGGGTGGCCCAGAGATGCCAAAGGGTGGCACCCCTGGATTAGTGTGCAGAGATAGAGCGGTGAGCACACCTGGACTTCCTTTTCCTGGCATGTTCTTCTCTGCAGCTCTGCACCACCCGCCTTTATCAGTCTCCCCTTCTCATTCCGGGCACCTGTCTCCCTCCTCCCACTTCCCCTCTCTTCCCTCTTCCTTAGGTTACACGAGGAGCTATGGACTCCCTGTCCTAGAAGTTACTTACTAATGTCAGAGCCGAATCCTGAGTAGCTGCTCCTGGGCCACGTACAAAAGGGACAGAACTGGTCTTAGAGACCCCTTCCTCCTCCCATAGTGCCCATTCACATGTTCCTGGTGTTCAAACTTGGCCTAATTTTGGGAAAAGTGTTAGTCAACTTAAGAGGGTGATACATAGTGACTTCCTAACTCTCCCCTACCTAGGAGAAAATGTCTTAATTGACACATGCTGCCTGTGTTATTCTGAGTGCATCCACAGACCAACATTGCTCCATCTGACTGCACTTTGCAGCCAGGCCAGGGAGAGGAACACGTGACGTGTTGCAGGAGGGTTCTCAGGAGGGGCCAGTTAGTAGTAACCAGAAGTCCCTCCCACTCGGGTGGCAGCTCTATGCTCTCCAAGTACCCCAAGTAGCTCTGGCACCCCAGTCCTAGTCAGCTCTGGTACAGGGCAGCCCCACTGCCTGGGCTAAACTTCTCAAGCCTAGATACTAGACTTCGAAAACAAAATCTTTCTAAGTCATTTTTTTGAGGCTTTGGGAAAGACTTGAGTATCTTTGCATCTTAGAGCTGGAAAAAACTCCCTAGAGGCAGATGAACCTGAGAAGGGAGTTCAGGTTCCAGTCCAGTCGTCTCCCAGACATTCTTAACGTCTCAATATTTCATTCTCAAGCAAATGGTTCCACTTCAGGACATCACCTCCTTCCACTCCCTTCTTCTCTAACATCCATTATTGTCACTGGATTTCTTGGAGCTTAAACAGCTGTATTTTCACAGTTTGCAAGACCAAACCAGGAAATTCGCAGACTGCATCTCTGGATTAGCAGGCGGGGCAGTGCTGTGGCATCTGACTTTCCAAGTGTCTGAACGCTCTCGTCTCAGGCCAATGACTTTTGCTGAGTTTCTTTTCCTCCACCAGTTTTACAAAAGGTTCTCATAGATTCTCATACCTGCCCACAGTGGGGGCTCGTACATTGAAGACTAAAGGAAGAGTCAGCTCCAGATCGTAGCTCCTGATCCTTCCAGACTGGGCCCCGAGCTGTTGCAGGACCACAGAAACTGCCCGAGTTGTCCTGCAATGGCTTGGCGGAGACCTCTAGGAGGGAGCAATGAGAGAGTAAGGGAAGGGTGCAAGCCCATTTTTTACTTAAAAAAAAAGTGAAGTTGAAATGAACAGCAGCACAAAGCCTCGATCCGCTTCTCTGCTTGAATTTCTAGTGATAGAGAAAATGTGGATTTTACATTCTGTCTCCCTCCATCTCTCCCTCTCTTTCTCTCTCTTCTTTCCTCATTTCCTCCCACCTTTCCTTTAAAAAATAAATTTCTTAACAACAATATTCTGTTTTCAAGAATCCACTGGATTCCAATTGGTGTCTAGGAATGTTTCCACAAGTATTTTGTATAATATAATTAAAAGGCAAGTTGCCAATTTAAAGGAGATTCCAAATTTTATAAGCAGTTCTAACTCTGTCTAGCTCCTTGGCATGAAAGCATACATTTTAGAAATTTATCTTTAAATAAATAAGCATGCATCTCAGTGCCACGTTGGAATGCATTTAGTACCCATTATGTACTCATTGAATTTTTGTTCAAACAATGTCATAATCATTTTAAATTTTGAAGTGGAATATAAAACAGTGCATCATGTTAAACAGTTTTTAAGAGGAAGTTATAGGTGTTTCAAGATAAACAACTTCTCTGACTTATCACCATTGATGTTAATATTTATTAACTGGTTTAATTTTTCTTCTTTTTAAATTATTTATTTATTTACTTTTAGAGAGAGGGGAAGGGAGGGAGAAAGAGAGGGAGAGAAACATCTATGTGTGGTTGCCTCTCACATGGCCTCCACTGGGGACCTGGCCTGCAACCCAGGCATGTGCCCTGAATGGGAATCGAACCGGCGACCCTTTGGTTTGCAGCCCATGCTCAATCCACTGAGCTACACCAGCCAGGGCTGAAGTTAAATTTTTAAAAAATACTTTTGAATGTTTTCTCAATAAAACCCAACTTAAAACGAAGTAATCCATAAAAAATGTATTGGACCACTGAATATTTCACTTTCTTGATGTCCTAAGGCAGTTTGAGTACGTTGTGGCTATTTAAAAAGCTAGAGCTACAACTGAGAATTTCTAAGAACTCTTAACCCAACATCATGAATCTAGTCTTAATAACAATGTTTGAGGTTGATAATTCTTATTTGAGGATCATCTAAATCAACTTAGCTGCACCAGATGGTCCTGGCATTTCGGGAAGAAGGAGTGTTTCTGAAGTTCCCTGTTTCACTGTCTGCAGAACCAGAAGAAAAGTATTTCTCAGAAGCACTGCCCCAACCCCCCAACCCCTGCCCCCCAGGCCCAATCATACACCTGTCCAAAGAGTTTGTTCTGTTGGCTCTCTTGTTGCCTTTTCCTTTTGATCATTGGTTCCTCTTAGCTAGCCCTGACTTCTTTGCTGGTAACATCCCCCCCTGCACACTTTTTTTCTGATGTTGTTGTGGGTTGTTTGGAGTTAAACTTACCTAGGGAACAAGGTCAGTGAAATCCAAAAGTCCTAACTGCCTTGCCCTGAAACTTCTCTTTGTGTCTTTTTAAAGTCTCCACCTACAGGAGGGCTGCCCCCAGACTGCAGCAAGTGTTGTCATGGAGATTACAGCTTCCGGGGCTACCAAGGGCCACCTGGACCTCCCGGCCCCCCTGGCATTCCAGGTAAGGATGGGAGACAGGCGCTACTGCCGGCCTAATAGACTGTGCCAAAATAGGGGCTGGGGTGAAGCCAAACAGTCTGAAATGGGTGTGTGTGATCTCCAGTGTACAAGTGCCTGGCTGGTGTAGCTCAGTGGGTTGGGTGCCGGCCTGTGGATCAATTCCCAGTCAGGGCACATGCCTGGATTGTGGGCCAGGTCCCCAGTAGGGGGCGTGCAAGAGGCAACCACACATTGATGTTTCTCTCTCCCTCTTTCTACCCCCCTTCCCCTCTCTAAAAATAAAGTATTTAAAAAAAATAAAGTGTACACGTGGAAAATCCAGAACAGAGCTGGGCAGACTGGGTGTCTAGAGACGGTCTAGGTGGAGCCTGTCACATTCGTCATCTGTTCCACTTGGAGGGTCGCACCGCACGAGGAGCTGGGGGCACCAGGCTCACAGGCTGGAGGCTCTGCGGCGTCATGGAGCATGGAACTCCCTGATCTGAATGGGGCTGTGTGCTTGTTTCAGTGCTTCTGCCACAGTGCGGTTCATGCGATACACTGTATGCAACTTCCAAAGAATTTATGGAGTGAGGCTGTGAAGGAGTGGAAAGTGCACTGGTCTGGGTGACAGGTGTCTCCACAGTGCCGTTCACGGAGCTGCGGTCCCTCTGTCAGATCCTCAGTTCAGCTCCATTTCTCTTCCCCGGCCTCAGGGTCTGTCACGTTCAGCTGTCTCTCGGCTGCCTTGTACACCTCTCCTGGGCTGTGGGAACATGGTTGACCCCTGCGTGGGCAGGGGCACGGCTCGGGGAACGCTGGGGAGCTCCGCTGTGCCCTCCAGACCCACCGTTCTGCTGTCCCCACTCCACCAGGGGTGTCCCAGGCTTGCAGGGCTTGGCAAAAGTCCTCTTTTTGGTTCTGTTTTGTAAAGCTGTTTTCTTTCTTTTTTTAGTTGTATTTTTTCCATGACCATTTACCCTGCTTCTACCCTCCCCCCACTGCACCCTTGTTCTCTCTTGATTTGCCCCGTTGATGCTAATCTTTATCAAATGACATTCAATTTCTTACATACCTTTAAGTGGTTTCCTGAATGTAACCAAATTTAAAATGAGAAGACACCCTTTAGACTTTCAACTGTGATTACAGGCTTGGAATCAATGTCACTGACCCTCAGGGGCAGCTGGCCGCAGGTGCAGTGGCCGGAGGGCGGAGACACTCAGACCCTTCTAAAATCTTCTGGGGTCTAAACTCTTCTGGGGTGGTGGGACAGGCTGGCCTTGGCTAAATGTTCCCCTCAGGAGCAGTTTTGTCATTAGCTCATTAATCTGTAAACAAAGTCAGAGTTGACCCATCTGGAAGGGTTGCAGTCCTGCTGTGGTAACCGATCAAAGGTGGCAGGCAAAATAAACAGCAAAGGCGCCTGAAATTCGACAAATGTAAGAAGAAAAGAGGTAGAGAAATTGTCCCGTGGTGGCAAAGTGAAGGGAAGGGCCGAGATTGTTATCCAAATCTTGTTTCCAAAGTTATAAAAAATTGTAATTTTTTTGGTCAAAGATTTTACATGTCCTTTGTTGAAAACTTCAGAAAGACAGGAAAGTGTGCAAGGACACAAAGATCACTCAGGATTCATCCATTTAGAAAGCAACACTGTAGATATTTTCATGTAATTTGTTCTAGTCTTCCCCCCCCTTTGGATATCACACACACGTACATGTGCGATACCATGTGTGCGCATTACATCCACACATGGTCGTACGCTATCTGTATTGCCTTATAACCTTTTATCTAAAAATATAATGAATATTGTTAATGTTATTAAAGACTTTTATTTAGCATTCTTTTTTTGTGACTACATAACATCATCTCCTAATTGTATAATTTTTTTGTAAACTTTAGCCCTTCCAGTACTGGTGGACATTTAGGTGGTTTCTAATCTTTGCTATTATAAGTGATGCTTTGATGATCGGTTTTCTGCACAATTCTTTTTTTCATCCAAGTCTCACTTGATGAGAATAACAGGCTTTGGAGCCTTAAGAGTCCCTAAGGCTGCTCTCAGTGTCCCGTTTAAAGAGACCCCATTTCACGGCGCCTCCACGGCCATATCAAGACTGTTCCCAGTGGTCCCTTTCACAGTTGAGTGTGTGCATTTGGGGGCTGTGTTTGTATAAAAACTGGTGGTCTGAGTGATGGGCTTCCTCATGCCATGATGTCTGGTTGTTTAAGGAAACCACGGAAACAATGGCAATAACGGAGCCACTGGTCACGAAGGGGCCAAAGGTGAGAAAGGAGACAAAGGCGACCTGGGCCCACGAGGGGAGCGGGGGCAGCACGGCCCCAAAGGAGAAAAGGGCCACCCGGGGATTCCACCAGAACTGCAGGTAAACCATCCTCAGCACGTCTCCAGGTGACTTCTACATCCCCCGGGGCCTCAGGGGCCAGGAGCTCCCTTGAGCTCGCACCAACGCTGAGTCTGAGTCTCACTTCACGCATCTCCGGCCTGGGATGTTCGCACCACGCCTGTGCTGCTCCCAGTGCTTTGCAGTCAGTCTCAGGGAGGAGGAAAACCTTTCGAGGATGAAAGTCAGTTCCCTCAGTAGACCAAATACAAGGCAACCCTGAATATCAGCTCATTTCCCAAATTCAAAGATATGCTAAATAAAAAGGTTTTTGGAAACTGGAATATCTAGATACATAAACTACTATTATAAGTAGACATTTGAACATTCCACTTATTTATTAATTTTGTTACATTTACATATTTAAATGACACATTAAGGTACAAATATTACTTTCTATCAACTCAGATTTTTATGGCAAAATTTTAATTTAAATATTTCTCGTTAATAATTTCTTTATCACTAGAGACATTTTATTTTGTTATCCACCCACAAATTTCCAGACCAGATCGTATTTACTTCATCTTAAAGTTTTTTAAATTTATTTCAAGGCTGGAATTGGACGTCGTATCCCAAGCACCTATTTGTCTATTTTTTATTTCTCTTTTAAATGATCTTCGCATTTTTTTTTGTTGTCAGTAACATCTAAAACCTAAAAAACATGAAGTTAGGTTACCAAGAAAATTACTAAATCTGACCCATTTTTGGTTAGTATTTTTTAAATCAATTCTTCCAAGGGACACCTATGAACATTGAAAGCTAGCATTCTTTGTTAAAGTTGTTTCCAGCTGGTATGTCTTCCTGAAACAGTACGTCGTGGTTAAAATAAAGTAATTGAGGGAATGTACGGTAATATGAGAGATTTTTCAAGAACTAGAATATAAAGCAAGTCTTGTCTGAAAGGTCAGTGGGGGAAAACTCCGCCTCTTACTTGGGTACAGTTGGTGGCTGTCTGACCGTGGGTGAGTTCCCTCATTTTTCTGGGCCTCGTAAGCTGGAGGTGCTGTGTGCTACTCTAACTGCTTTTGTGGTTTTGTAACTTTCATGAACATTGCTTAATAATTTTAGCAACCTGGGAGCCATATGTCAGTATAAATTTACAAAGAAAAGGAGACAGAGGCCACTTGGCCAGCTTGAAGGTGGATAAGATGGATGAGAAACTTTCTCAAAGCCAAGACTCTAACCCCAAACCTGTGAGTGGTTGCACCCTGGCTAAGGGCTTCAAAGATTCCTGATGTACTAATGTGCTTTTAATAGGTATACGCGTAAGATTTTGCCCCAATTTTTCCAACATGGTTTGATCACAGAAATTTCACATTTAAAAAAGCATTTTAAAGTCTAACATTCCTTGAAACACATGATCAGAAGAGCTGCTAATATACATGATCATTTTAATGGCTACAGAGCATAAAAATGTTAGAAAGTAGCGTGATACGTTTAATTCATTCTTCATACATTAATGTTTAAGTGATTTCCCATGTTGCTGTTACAGATAGTGTTGAAATAAACTCACGTGTATAAAAGCTTCACATCTTTAAAATAAATGGCCTATTAATCGACCCCCACCTCTTTCCTTAGATCGCATTCATGGCCTCTCTGGCAACGCACTTCACCAATCAGAACAGCGGCATTATCTTCAGCAGCGTTGAGACCAACATCGGAAACTTCTTTGATGTGATGACTGGTAGATTTGGGGCCCCAGTGTCAGGTGAGATGTAAAAACAAGTGAATGGCCGAATTAATGAATCTAGCAATCAAGGAGGAAGAAAGTGAGAGGGAGGGAGGAAGGAAGGAAAAAGGGAAGGAGGAAGGAAAGGAGAGAGGAAAGAGGAAAAGAAGGAAGGAATGAAGAGGGAGAACAAGGAACAGGAGACATTAAGGAAGTTGAGGATTGTTTCTAATCCTGCTTAAAACAAGCAGATGATCTATGGATTTCTACTGAATTTCAAAGTAAATAAGTTAGAACCTGAAAAGACAAAAACACTTTCAAAAATGACAGCCATGGTTACTAAGATTATTGTCTCCGATTTGAACTGAATCGAGTAGCCCCTAAGAGGGCATAGTTATACTTGACTTTGAAAGTTCTTATATCATAATTCTCACAGTTAAATGTGTCATAATGCTATTCTCTCCTTGCTACCATCCCAAGAAGGGTCTGATCCTTTTAAAAATCTTTAAACATTAAAAAAAAATTAAGCCCTTCTGTATTCATTTCCCATCATTATTGTAACAAATTACAAACTAAGGAGCTTAAAACATAAAATTATTCTTGTATAACTCCGGAGGTCAGAAGTCCCAAATCAGTCCACCCGAGCTAAACTCAATGTGTAGGCAGTGCTGGTTCTTCTAGAAGCATCAGGGACGATTCCAGTGTGTAGAGGCTGCCAGTGTTCCTTGTCTCCTGGCCAAATGACTTTAATCTCTGCTTCCATCGTCACACCACCTTCCCCTCACAGGTTCTGACCTTCTTGGCTCTCTTATCAGGACAGCGGGAGTCCCTTGGGGCCACCTGAATAATTCAGAGTAATGTCCCCATCTCAAGATTCAGAACACAATAGTACCTGCAGAGTCCCTGTTGCCGCATAAGGTAACATTTACAGATGCTGGGGACTTTGGAACGTGGGCATATTTGACAGCCATTAATCACTCCCCCACAACTTTCTTTCTTTCTAGCACCATGAGCTGCTTCAGGCTCATCTTGCATTTTCCCCTGTCCCAGCTTTGGAAACACACACTTTTCCAAGGAGCCCTTTCCTTTTATTGGAGAGTAGTATTTAGAAGCCAAGATCCATGGGTGTGCTCATTGCTACTGCTATGTTTGTGTATGTTTTTATAGTAACCCATGCACACACACATGTATATTTCCCTATCTATAAATCAATGTTGTGTCAAAAAAGTTAAAGGATTTTCAAGGTGAGAGCAGACAAAGGGTCACTCAGACAATTAAGGGCCAAGAGGAACCTACACACCACATAGATTATCAAGTTTGAAGTCATGTGGCTTATTTCCCTGCTACCTCGTGGTCTTCAATGCACCGTACAGTACTATAAATGCGAGTCAATATCCACCTTTTTTCAGGTGTGTATTTTTTCACCTTCAGCATGATGAAGCATGAGGATGTTGAGGAAGTGTATGTGTACCTCATGCACAATGGAAATACAGTCTTCAGCATGTACAGGTGGGTGGTCTTTTCTATCATAGGTACCATCCATGCTGCCATGTTTACTCAAAGGATGGCCAGTGCCAGGGGACTCTATAGGAATCAACAGAGCCTGTTGTGGACCCTGTCATCACTGAGAGCCCCCAGCACCAATATATGTCCAGATGATGTCACTGGAAAGAGATAAACCTGAGGAACATGAGTATAAACAGGCTAAGAGGCCTTGAGCTGATTACTAGCAACACTGTCCACAACTAATAATTTGTATTCTTTTCTTAGCTCATGACCTGTTTCCTTCTCTCTCACCCTTTTCTTCCGCTTTTCTACTCCCCTGTGCCCTTTGCTTAGAGTTCAGCCCATTGACAGCCTTCTCTGCCATCCCTATGGGCTGGCGGGCTGAGAGCTGGGAGTAGTTTCTTCTCTGTTGGCTGTGCTTCCACTCTGATATATATTGTAGCAACCTGGCACCAGGGCTCCTTCGAAAAAATATTTTAAAAAGATATAGTTCAACTTGCTCTGATGTAAGCTTACGATGTGGCAGAGAAGCAGACAGCCAACATCTTCCCCGTAAGTCAGTTGGTGGTGAGTTATCTATGAAAAACTCTGGGACTGTTCTCATTTCCATGTTACTTTTGATGACTTGTGGCGGTTGCCATATTTTCTTCTGGAGCCTGACCTCCAGTGGGGGGTCGTGTCTGGAATGCCAAACAAGAAAGAGATGAGTCGGGTAGACGAAGATGCCGCAATGGAGAGATCCAGAATATAATGGCTCCACCACCCCGGAAGGCGATTTTGCTGGCCAGTTCCAGGGTGGGGGAGGTGTGAGGCAGAAAGGGAGAAGAGCAGAGTGTGTGCAGGAGAGGGTGGGTGTCTGCCTTCTTTCTGAAAATGTAGTCTGGTCAGAGCAGTTCTGCCTTCTGTAAAACTGACTCCCAAATTCTCGCTGGCCATTGTCTTTGTCACAATCAAAAGGAGAAAGAGCAACAAGCTTGTGGAAATTTTTACACATGCGGTGCTTTATTCAGAGAACTTGGTCACATTGTTCTCTGCTCAACTTCACCCAACCAAGGTCAGCACAGCTATGCAGAGGAGCTCCTGTGGAACAGGGGACATACAGTCTGGTGAACAGCTGGCCTTCTCTGCCCCCCTGGCTACCGAGTATCTGCTGAACCCTTCATCCCACACTTAGCCTCCATGTCTCAACTCACACATAGAGAGCAGGACGACAGCTGTGGGGGAGGGGTTGGGGAGGTAGAGGGATCGAGCAGAAAGGGAAACGGACTCATAGACACGGACAACAGTGTGCTGACGGAAGGGAAAGGGAATATAAGGTGGATAAATGGTGATGAAAGGAATTCAATTAAAAAATGTAAAAAATGAATACATGTCTCCCCATCTCTGTCCCTGTGGGAAGTCCCCTAAACTGCACTTAAGGCATCAGCTCAGAGCCCAAAGCCCCAGGATGAGCAGCCCTTTTCTTCAAGTCAGTTTCTGGGCAGTTTGCCTCGTGGGCCAATTCTGTCCTCTAGGTGGGTCTTCGTTGATTCTTTGTCTCTATGGCTACATCTAAAACGTGAGTGGGCCCTGGCTGGTGCAACTCAGTGGATTGAGCACTGGCCTGCAAACCAGAGGATCGCAGTTTGATTCCCAGTCAGGGCACACGTCTGGGTTGCAGGCCGGTTCCCTGCAGGCCAGTTCCCAGCAGGGGATGCACGAAAGGCAACTATACATTGATGTTTCTCTCCCTCTCTCCTTCCCCTCTAAAGATAGATAGATAGATAAATAAATAAATAAATAAATAAATTTTAAAAAAGTGAGTGGGTTCTCCTCGGGGTCTTTCACAGCCTACTTTGGCTGGTGCAAAGTGAAGGCTAAGAGGATTTAGTTGAACCTCCCAAGCTCTTTTTAAATTAGGCTTGTTTTTTTGAGGTGGAGGTGGGGACTATTACTATTTTCTCAGAAACTAAGCAGATTTTTTATCTGTTTGCTACCAGTCAGTTATATGTTAGTAAACCATATCCAATGTTATTTTCTTGACCTATAGTTTTTCAGCTTGTTATTTCCTTTATTGGAAAGACATAAAGAGTTCTGGTCTTTATGTCTTTTTCTCTCAACTTCATGGTGGCTCCCAGAAGACTTTCTAAAACAATATACTTGGGTAGCGTGGTAATTTTTTGAAACTTTTTTTTAAGGTATAATAAGGTATAAAAGGTATAAAAACTTTTTTATAAGGTTGATATACAACCTTATATTTATTTCAGAAGCACAACATAATGATTCAATATTTGTAGCTATTACAAAATGATCACCACAAGAAATCTAGTTAACACCCTTCACCATATATAGTAAAATAATTTTTCTTGTGATAAGAACCTTTAAGATTTACTGTTATAGCAACTTTCAAACAGGCAACACAGTATTATTAACTATAGTCACCATGCCTTACACTGCTTCCCCAAGATCTATTTATTTGTAAATGGAAGTTTGTACCTTTGATTCCCTTCCCACATTTCGCCCGCTCCCCCCTGCACACACCACCTCTGGCAACCACCCATTTATTCTTTGTATGAGATTTTTTTTCTTCTTGATTCCGCATGTAAGTGAGCTCATATGGTATTTGTCTTTCTTTGTCTGACTTATTTCACTTAGCATAACGCCCTCATGATTGATCCATATTGTCACAAATGACAAGATTTCATTTTGTGTAGCTGAATAATAATAGTCCTTTGCTTATATATACACCGAATTTTCCTTATTTTTTCATCCGTTGAGGTCATTTAGGTTGTTTCCATATTTTGTAGTGCTGCAGTGAACACGAGGGTACATACATCTTTTGAAGTCAGTGTTTTCATGTTCTTTGGATAAATATCCAGAGTAGAATTGCTGGATCATATGGTAGCTCTTTTTTAATTTTTTGAGCAACCTCTATACTGCTTTCCATGTTGGCTGCACCAACTCACATTCCTTCCAACAATACACAAGGGCTCCCTTTTCTTCTCATCTTTGCTAGTGCTTGTTATTTCTTGTCTGTTGGTAATAGCCACTCTGATTGGTATGAGGTGATATCTCACTGTGGTTTTGATTTTAACTTATCTGATAATTAATGGAGTGCCTTTTCATGTACCTGTTGGCTATCTGCATGTCCTCTTTAGAAGATTGTTCATATCCTCTTTCCATTTTTAATCACATTTTTGGTATTTTCTTTTCTTTTGCCATTAGGTTGTATAAGTTTCTAAAACATTTTTTGGTTGCTAACTCATTATCAGATGTATGATTTGCAAATATCTTCTCCCACTCAGTAGGATGTCTCTTCCTGTGTTGATGGTTCCTTTGCTGTGCAGAAATGTTTTAGTTTGATGCAATCCCACTGACTTTGGCCTCATTGCCTTTGCTCTTGGTTTCAAATTCCAAAAATGATCACCAAGACTGATGTCAAGGAGCTCGCCACCCATGTTTTCTCCAAGTTTCTCCTGGGTTTCAGGCCTTACATTCAAGTCTTTAATTCATTTCCAGTTCATTTTTGTACAGGGTATAAAATAGTGGCCCAGGTTCATTCTTTTGCATGTGGCTGTCCAGTTTTCCCAACTCCTTATTAAAGACACTGTTCTAGAAAGACAGTATGGCTAACCCACCACACTGTGTCACAGGCTGTGTCTATTTGGCTGAATGAGAAGTCTTAAGAGGCCAAAGTCAACTGTAGCTCTGTTCTTCCTGGTATAACATCACTTGGCTTTTCCAACCCTGTTAGGCCTCATCATTCTGCTTCCGACATGTTGGCTCCTGTCCGAGCTCACTATACTAGCACCATCTTTCTAAAAGAAGCAAAGAGTATTTTACCTTATTCAGTTGCTCCCTTTCTTGGAGGATAAGCTTGTAGGCTTTAGGTCTACCTTTCAAGTTATCACGTTTTCTGAACTGTTTTGCCACAGCATAATGTGGCTCTCTACTTTCAAGCTCACAGTATTTGTTTTCTTCACTGTTCTCTGCCTGACCATGAGTCAGTGCAACCAACAGATGGTCCCTGACCTCTGATGGTTTGACTTACAATTTTTCTGCCTTACAAATGTGCAAAAGCAATTTGCATTCAGTAGAAACCCTACTTCAAATTTCATGATGCTGGACAGTGGTGGGAGTCATGGTTCCCAGCCAGTCATGTAATCACGAGGGTAAATAGCTGATACTCTACAGTGCATTCATGGTGTGAGACGATTTGCCCAACTGTAGCTACTGTAAGTGTTCTGAACATGTTTAAAGTCAGCCAGGCTAAGCTATGATGTTCAGTAGGTTAGGTGTAGCAAATACATTTTTGACTTATGATATTTCAACTTACCACAGGTTTATCTGAACATAATCTCATCATAAATTGAAAAGTGTCTGTACTCTAGTTTGGGATATGGCAGCACCCTATTTAGTACCAAATTCTAAATTACTTAGGGTAGACTAAACTGCTGTAACACTGGCCAGCGTAAAGGCTTAAACATAGTAGAAATCCCTTTCCTTCTCACGGAACAGTCCAGGGTGTTTTTTCCAGTTGTGGTGGATGACAGAGAGCTTTCCTCTACGTAGTCTCTCAGAACTCAGGCTTTGACATGTAACTTCCATGGTCATTCTGGTCAGTGTCATTAGCATTCCACACAATCATAATGAGAATGATCAAGGAGGGGTGTTTGTGAGGGGTGCATTGGCCGATCTAATACAAGTGGCACATGTCATCTGTTCACATGTCATTTAAGGAACTCGATCACAGCACTATACCTAATGCCTGAGAGCTGAGAGAGAAGGGCAGGCTGTCCCCTGTAAAGACTAAGCAGCTGGTGCCTTTTCTTTCTCTCCAGCTATGAAACAAAAGGGAAATCGGACACATCCAGCAACCATGCAGTGCTGAAGCTGGCTAAAGGAGATGAGGTTTGGCTGAGAATGGGCAATGGCGCTCTTCATGGGGACCACCAGCGCTTCTCTACCTTTGCGGGCTTCCTGCTTTTTGAAACTAAGTAAATATATGAATAGACCAGCTCCACTTTAGGGAAGAATTGTAGCTGAACAGGTATTGTTATGATCTGAGGAACATTACAGTTGAGGGTTCTGTATATTGTATTTTTTTTAAAGAAACTTTTTGGTTACATTGCTAATCATGCTACAGATACAGCAATAATGTGGAATGACTCAGGGGCTCAGAAGATGGAAAAACACAAGACAGTTTTCTCATGTGACCTTGACTAATATACCTACCACTTTTACCACTCTTCCCTAGGCACCTAAAAGAGAATTCCCCTTTTGATACAGGTTAGAAATAATTGTTCCCATCAGAGAAGTCATTTGCAGAGAGTTTGGGCAGCTCTGTTTTTAATTGAATATCAGCTTTCAGGAACCACTGAGGTTGGGGTTCATTGTTATAACTCCACAGCAAACAGGATGCCATGGTTGCGGTGGGGCCGGGCAAGGACAGGGGCACAGCCAGGGTCAAGGTGCCAGAAACACCTGCGAAGCCGAAACTGGGAAGTTACACTTTGATCCAGTGGGTCAATGTTCATAAACAAAATATAGTTTTGTTGTTTTAGGAATTCCTGATAGCTTTTAGACAGCAAAAGTATGCACAGTGCCCACAGATAACTGACTCATTGTTTTTCAATAACAACAGCTGTAATTAAATCCTAACTTGTAGGAGTTTGCATTCGAATTTTCTCATGATCCAGAATTGGGTTGACCAGATCTGGTTTATGAGACTGACTCTTCGCCACTCACCACGTTTCTTAGAGCACAGTAGACCTTTGCTGACGCTGACCTGCAGAACTGGCTGCGGTGAGTTGAGGTCCACATTGCACGGATTTTGTCCCCTTCTTTTTCTCAATCTAGAAATTACTCTGATACACTTGATGCATGCTGACAAGTCAGGTGGAAGAAGCTGTGGACTAAGTTATACACAGTCAAACTAACAAATACAAAATACAAGGACATTCCACTTAGGAGACATACGGTAAAAGTCTCTTAACCTTTTTAACATAAAAATGATATGGCTTTTTGATGACCCATATTTAACCAGTATCCACAGAGCAGCTGTGCCACTTGACTTTTGCTTATCCTCCCCCCTCCAAATCTACTCATCAAGGGTTAAATCAGTCACCAAAGGAATATTCATGAGAATGCACCATGGATACAATCTGAAGATAATACCCAAAGACAGTACCTAGAATTGGTTTATTTAAAGTGAAAAAAAGCATCATTGAACTATGTGTTTCTCCTGATGTTTGATGGCACTTAAAATGCACTGTTTGAGCGTTGCCTCTCTGACAAACATCACATAATAAAATCCCTTAGAAGTAATGAGCCCTTAATTTATTTTTTGTTACAATTTGAATCTCCACAGAGACTTTTAAACTGTGGGTTTACTTGTATTGATTAGCCCCCTACGACTGGAGGCAGAGAAAATCAGCAAGAGCTGCCCTAGTAGCTAACAACGTGTTTCATGTTCAGTTCAGCCTTTGACCCTTTTCTTTCCATTTGCAAATACTTTTAAACTCTTCCTGAAACAACATGCAATGTGACTTAAAGGTGAATGGATATTAGCTATAATGCACTTGACTGGTAATGTTTCTGTGATTTTGTATATGTCCCCCACCCCTCACCCCTTCCTCTGGAGCGGTGGGGTCATGGGGTTGAAGTTTACTATTACCAAATATCATATTCTGTACAAGTGCATTGGCATTAGATATTTGGATGTTACTGTCCAAAGGAATTCCATATCTAAAGAACATACACTTCAACTAAAGTACCTAGAGGAAGATATTGGCCTGGCTTTAGAGCAAAGCGAGGCAAGAAAAATGTAATAAACATTATGTGAAAAACAATCAGACCTTTGTTAAGTATACTGTTTTATAATGTTCTTAATAAAGTTGATTAGTCATACACTTGTAAGTAACTATGATTTGTCAACACAAAATTAAAATATTTTCATGCAGATGATGTGAAGTCATACAGTGTATTATATGGGCACAGAGCAGGGTCAACTGTCTACTGAAAACACCACTTTTTGGTTATTTTATGTTGTAACTTCAACCTGAGTTTTAAAGGCATTGATGTTTAGAGGACCCTTAATGAAACCTGAATATCTTGAAGGGGAAGGGCTCTTCATCTCAAGCTGAAGTCTTTCTATATAGATGCCTAAATGCCAGTTTTCACCAAGATTTGGTTTTGGCTGGTGGAAAGCACTTGGGGCTTGCAATTAAGTCCTGGGTATGATGAGACCGATTAATTAGTAAGCAAGGTTGGCAGAAGGCCAAGATAGTTATCAGTGTTTCACAATTTGACTCATCGCCAGAATTAGATCTGAAAATCTGGGAAATAGAAGGTAAGGGTCATGGGAAATTTAAAGCTATCAGCTAAGCAAGCAACTTTTACATTTTAAACTCTAAGGGAAAGCAAAGTCCACCAGTGAAGCCCGTGGGTTTCTGCTGGCTGCAGAGGTACGGCCTTTACCTGGCAGAGCTGCTCCACACAGTGATCAGGCGGGGTGAGCTCCCAGTGGAGAGTTGCAGCGAACTTTGAACCACGAAGAGGAAATTATGCAAGACATTTCACTGACCACATTGTGAACAAAAGCTGAAGCTAACGATATTCAAGAAGAGGATAAAATAATTAAATGGCCAAGGGCATGGCTGGAATTAATAAAACATCTACTTTGTGCAAAGATACTGTGCTATTTATTCCAGGAGCTAGTAAGCATTTAAAGCACAATCCTTACCTTCCATGAATTTTTAGCCCGACAAGAGAAAAATCCTGAGGTGCCGTAACTTAAATTACAGCAGGCCAGAGTACGGGAGGAAGAGCCAAGAGTTCACCAGCAAATGGCCGAAACCAACATAAACCAGCAGCATCCTTGCATGTGTGTGGGCACTGAATCAGCTTCCAGGCAGCTGTGTGGAGAGAATAGCTACCCACCAGATGCCACAGCACTCTGCTTACACATGAACTTTCCAGACCTGCCCAAACTAACACAGAAACATCAAGCACTTCTTCCTTAAGGACTAGGCACCTACCCCAGAACTTGGTTTAATTCACCTTTCCCCACCACCTTATCTACACTCAGTGTAAATCTTTTCAAAGCCACTTAAATCTTTCTCCTCCAAACACATCATATGAAAGAACCCTGGCAACCCCAGCACGGGGGGCATGTGTTTGTCTTCTCCATTTCTGGCCAGCAGATAGCTCGGTAGAGACTTTCTTTTGGGAGACTTCCGGTCTCAAAGGTTGTTGTTGAACAAACCCAGTGGAGAAAGATAGGTGAAAGAGGGTAAGTGCAGAGATGATATAAAGTAAAGAGGGATGTTTTAATAACCATGAAAGGCAAAGGGCTAGGGACTCACAGGGCAGAGAAACTACGCCCAGCCCACAGCATGAGACGGCGGTAGGGAAGGCAGTGTTTTATGGCTGGAGAAACTTCGTGCTTTATCATGCTTGGAGTGTTACTTTTAAAAATATCTTTTTGTTCTTTTCTGATTCTAAAAATACTGTAGAAATTTTATAAAATACATAAAAGCATTTGGTATAAAAATTAATCACCTCACCAAACATAATATTAGCATTTTGAGGTATATATGTCAATCTTTTCTTGCATATCTTTATGATTTTTATTTTTAGGAACATAGTATAGAACAAATCATTTGACATTACATTTTTTATATATTTTTGTATCTTGCTGTGGTTTGCCTTAACATATTAAGAACATTCTCACATACTATTAAGGATTAATTTACTTAGCCTTTTCCATTTGGGGAAATATTTTTGCTGTTTCCAGTTTTTTTTTTTCTCATCATAATTTTATCTCTATCCCTGGTTCTTGATGCAAAGCCCCTCAAACTGTTTTAAATAGGGGTGCTAGAAGAATCTTCTAAATTAATCTTTGACTCCAGTTCCTAAAACTCTTGTGATTTTCTAAGCATGAAGAGCACTAGAAGCATCTCTTGTTTTACTATTTGGTCTTTGGCTCTGGCTCCTGATGTGGAGGTCCTAAATCGCTTGAAATTTCTTGGTGATCGAACTTTTTTCTTCTTCTTCTTCTTCTTCTTCTTCTTCTTCTTCTTCTTCTTCCCCCCCCCCCCCCCCTCCCCCTTCTTCTTCTTTTTTTTAATGCGGCAACTCTTGGTGAGCTCCCAAATGGAGCTCAAAATCAAACCATGATTTGAAGCTTGGAATTTTCAGAATCCCACACCTCCATTCCCCAGAGAGGGGAGAGGAGCTGGAAATGGAGTTAGTGATCAATCACGCGGACATGGTGAAGGCTCAATAAAAATCCCCGAAGGGTGGGATTTCGAGAACTTCCGGGTTCATGAAGACACCCGCATGTGGGGAGATATCACACCACAACTACACAGGGACAGAAGCTCCTGTGCTCGGAACCCGTCTGGACCTCACCATATGTATTTCTTCGGCTGTTCATCACTGCCCTTTATTACATCCTTTATATTCTATTATAAACTGGTAAACATCTGTGTTTTCCTGAGTGCTGTGACCTGTTCTAGGAAGTAACTGAACCCAAGTGGGGGGCCATGGGAATCCCCAATTTTTAGCTAAGTCAGATGGAAGTTGTGGGCGACCTGGGGGCCTATTACTGCCTACCGGCATCTGAAGGGAGGCGAAGCCTCAGGAGGCTGAGTCCTTGATTTGCATGGTCTGTGCCACCACCAGTTGGTGTCTGAATTGAACTGCACGGTGGGATACCCTGCTGGTGCCCCAGAGGACTGCTGGTTTTGGGGGGGAAAAGAACCCACACATCTGGATTCAGAAGTGTTATGAGCGTGGTAGTAGTGTGAGACGTAAAAGAGAAGCACGCAGAAGAAGTGAGTTTTCTTACTCTCCCACATGCAAAATTCACTCACCCCCCTGCAGAGTCCTCAGACATGTCATCCCACTAGGGTGTGAGCGCAAGGTCCGGAAGTTCACACCTACATCAGATCCAGGTACGGGCCAGGGGTTTCCAATGTGGTTCTTTTAGTTCAGCTCCTTGGGTATAGCTCTCCTTGATCTGTTGATCTGTACAATGAGAGGCACTCGGTGTTGCTTTCCAGCCCACCCTGGAAGGGATGGGGACGGATAAGAAGTATAGACATTTTTGCTCAAAAAGGGGGGAATGGGGATGCTGCACCCCATTTGCTCCACCACAATTCTAAAATCTAGTCAGCCAGCTATTAGAAGCTCCTCGGTTAGCTTTAAAGGCCTGTCAGCACTTTGGTATGTATCTTAGAGAAATGAGATTTAAAAAAAGATATAATCCCCAAAATAAAATAATTCCTTACTATCATCTAATTTCTAGTCAGCATTTTAAAGTATTCCTAACTGTCACATAAGTATCTTTCTAAATTATGTTTGTTTAAATCATGATTCAAAATAAGATTTATGTGTCACGGTTGATAGATATCTAAGTCTTGAAATCTGCAATGATTTCTCATTTAATTAACTAGTTATCATTTGCTTTCCAGTACTGTGGGTTTTGCTGTTTATACCTGCTGGTATACCTGTTTGCTGTTTATATGCCATCTTTTTCTGACTCCTGTATCATCCTCCTCTGTGTTCTGCATTTACCATCATCAGATGGTTGCTTGATTAAATTTAGGCTCAACCTTTTTGCAGGAAAGCTTCATGAATAGTATTATCTATTGCATCATGCCAGGAGGTCCATAATATCTTATTGCCTCTTTCTGTGATATTAAAATCAATCAGTGGGTTCAGGGTATCTCAGCCAAGTCCACATATTATATAAAATTCCCCCATTAGCTTTTTGCCTAATGTTTTTAGCAGCCATTGATGATTATCACTTAAATGCATTACTTCATTGGCAGTTGCAAAATAGTGACGTTTTAAAAGAAAGACAATCTTTCACCAGCTATTTGGTTATCCTGAAATACTGTTCACTTGGAAGACAAGATAAATGCCTGCTTTTTTCACTTCTATTTACCAATTTTTATATAGAATAATGAGTTAGTACCCTAGCAACCTTCAAAGGCGATTAATAAAGTCTTTTAAAAAGCACTATTATTAACTCATGATTTTTCACATATTTGATGTGTTTCTATCCACCACAGTCATTTGAATTTAATGATCCCATTTTGCTTGTCAATGGGAAGCCCTTTCGAGTTAGTACGTCTGTCCCTTTATTGCAAACTCAGGCTGGTGCAAATCCCCTGCAATAGAAATGGGGAGACCACTTTGACCAGTTGCCTCAGCATTTGAGGTCTGTCCAGACAGTATCCAGCCATGTGCTATGAAAAATGGAGACATGTATTGAAGAAGATACAAGAAAATTGTGCACAGGACAATAATGCCTCAGTCCCCTTCAAAGTAGGCACCTTGAGACCTCACACAGTGCTCCCAATTGCCCTCAGCTGAATCTCATCGATGGTCTGAAATCTCTTCCCTTTCAAAGGGTGATTTTAGTTTTCGGAAAAGCCAGAAGTCACAGGGCACCAACTGTGGGCTGTAGTGGGGCTAATTCACCTGGGTGGTGTGCTGTTTCACCAAAAATCTTTGCACAAGATGTGATGCTGGAACAGGCATGGTCATGATGAAGCTGCCAATCAACAGTTACCCATAGCTGCAGCTTTCTGAATCATCCAACTAGTTTCACGGAGGAATGTTTAAGCTGCAAATTTATGAAGATGCAGATTTGTTGCTCTACTCACTCAGTTATTTTGAAGGAGGCCAGGGCCCTACAGTACACACGCTCAATGGCATCTACCACCCCTACTGACTAGTACAGTGAAGTCTCCATTGCTCAGTTGCCCATTGCTCATTGCTCAGTCTCCATTGCCATTCCAGTCCACTCTCCTTGGTTGCCAGGTTACATCCCATGCCGCTCAAAGCGTTCTCTTTTTATTAACAATGGCTGCACTTATTTCAGACAGACATTTTACCAGAATCTGTATCTATCAAAAGACTAGGGTAGAGATTGCTCTGGCACCCACTTCTGAGTCTATTAAAATTCCCCAACAGTCAAAAATGGTCAGGCCACCTACACAAAGGCTAGACAGAATGAGAGAAAACGATTTGTAAAAGTAATAGCGCTATTTGTGATGACTTATTTTATAGTACTTACAAAAAAGACAGATTGTGCATTAAAATTAAAAACTGAGATCTGTAGCTATCCATAGAAATGGCAGGTGACAAATCAAAAACATTTTTAAAGCTCTCTCATTTGGCTCTGATGTTCTTCTGTTATTACACATTACACATATTCCTTAATGTAGCCAAACTTTTTTTCTTAAAGGCATATAATCCACAAAGCTTATAACTCCAAATCGAGCGCCTCTAGAAGGGATCTCAAGCTGTTCGTATAAGAAATCACCGGTGCCTGATAAGTAAGAGCAATGAAGAAAACCATTTGCAGACTACGGATGAAAACAGCATCGTTCTTAAATATTTATTCACTGTTTATTTCTCCAAGAGTGGAGGGGCTCAATGACACAGCGGCTGGCATCAGAAAGGTGAGGTAAAAGCGTCGCAAGAGGATGCTGACAGGCTGGAGAACTCTCAAGGTCAAGCCAGGAGTTACTTTTGGACTTGACTGCAGAAAAAAAAAAGACAGCAACTTGCCAGACTACCGGCCTTCCACTCCGGGAGGCGGGGCCAGGAAGCGCGTCACTGCGCAGACGCAGGGGCGCGCGCAGGCGCAGGCCGAGGAGGGAAGGGGTGCGCGCTCCCGGCCTGGCGCGTCCGCGTCCCCTTCCTTTTGACAACTGCCTGGGCTACCATGGCGCTGCGGGGTGTCTACGTGGTGGAGCTGGCGGGCCTGGCCCCAGGCCCATTCTGCGGTATGGTCCTGGCGGACTTCGGGGCGCAGGTGGTGCGTGTGGACCGGCCCGGCGCCCCCAGCGACGTGGCCCACTTGTCCCGCGGAAAGCGCTCGCTGGCCGTGGACCTGAAGCAGCCGCGGGGAGTGGCCGTGGTGCGGCGCCTGTGCGCCCGGGCGGACGTGGTGCTGGAGCCCTTCCGCCACGGTGAGCCCCCTCCGAGGCCTCCGACTAAGGAGGGAGCTGAACTGTTTGAGTCTGCGCACGCCACACCTGTGCCTTGTGACCTCAAAAACTTTTCTGTTCCTGTCTTTCTAGACCTTTGCCTTGCACTTGATGTGCTTGGTGATTCGCCCCTTGAAACAGTCTTCCATACCTGGCATCTAAGATAACAGCTGTTGCCCCTTTTTCTCCTTGTGCCTACCTCTCTCTGACTTCTTCCCAAGTTTCTCTTTTTCCTAATCGCGTATTTGTATCTGCCTCTTTGGGTTATTTGAGGGCCATGAACCCTATGAGAATCTAATGAAAGTCATAGGCTCTCTACCCAGAAAACGGCAGAAAGGTACATAGTCATTTGGCTACATTTCAGCGAAGAGGGGAGCCATCTGCTGACCCAGCCTAACACTCCCTGCCTTAAATGCTGGCATGTCTAAGCTCCGGCTCCACACAGCTCACCGGAGCCGCCTTACCTGTTCCCGTTACTTTCACGTTTTACAGGCAGGAGGTGCCCTAGTCCTCATCTGCACACCCTGTGCGAGAGCTGTAGACTGCAGGGGTACACAGGGCCTGCGCAGCTCCTACTGTCTGGTGGGCGCTGCAGCCTCCGCAGGTGCCCGGAACCCAGGAGGGAAGACTCCCTCCAGGAGTGGCATCTTCTTCTGGATCATTTATCCTAGTGAATGGAACCAACATCCACCCAGTCGCCTTCATCAGAAACCTGCGCTTCATGTGTAGCGACAAATCTTACTTTTACGGCACCCATTTTTCCCTCCTTTCCACCGCTAGGGATTCTTTCTTTGCGTACCTTTTGCAGCCTACCTGACACTGTCGTAAAGACCCTTGTGAAGGTGGTGGCTGGGTCTAGCACCACGCAGATCCGTGCCCCGACAGCTGTCAGAGTCATCTTGCTCGTGTGCAAGTCCAGAGCTTTGCCCGGTATATGGCAAGAAGTCAGTAAACGTTTCGAAAATGCACCGTATGACTGACTGTGAGGCACCAGGCATATTTAGACATGTTAACTCATTTACCCTCACAGCCAGGTTTCAGGATAATAATATAACTTAGGATTATATCATAATTTATCGTGTCCCATTTGAAGATGAAGGAAGCTCAAACTGGTTAAGTGATTTGTGCAGAGCCTTGTAATTAGGAGGGAGGTAGAGGTGGGGGTGCAGGTGTAGCTGTCCGGGGGCAGGACTGTGGCTGCTGCTGAGGAGGACCCGAGTTCTTTCCTAATGTGTTGTCGTAGGAAGACCACACATGAACGTCTCCTGCGGTCTTATTACTTTTAATTCCAGGAGGCTGAAGGTGCCAGTTCCCTGAGTTTCACACAGTCGACATTGTACTTGCAGATAACGTAAGAGGTTGGAGGCTGTCTTGGCTAACCTTTCTCTCCTGGCTAGTTACCGAGTCTTTTTGTTAAGGCACAGATGCTCTGAAGCCTAGCTCGGGCTCGGGCAGGAATCCTGCCAGAAGAGTTTCTGAGCCGATAGGGAAGATGGAATGTGTACACACCTAAGGGCACCGTGGGGCAGACGGCGACCGGCACGGAGGCAGGCATCAGAAAAGAAAAGGTCTGCAAAGGAAGAGCAGTTTTCAGCAGTGAATTGTTGGCCAAAAAAAGACCCAGGGTAACTGTTCCAAGAGAACAGACCATTTCTAATACATTACTGTGGAGAGGATTTGAGAAACTAAAGGCACCCATGGAGGGGATGGAGCGCCCACCGCGGGGACGGAAGAGGGCCGGATGTGCCGAAGGGAACCGGGTGTGCTGGAAGGACAGCGCCGTCGGGGCAGCAGCCGTGCCTTCCGGAAGGGGTGGCCTCACTCTCTGGTTCTTAACATGTTACAAACCCTCCACACATGTTATTACTTGAAGAGCTGTCTTAGGTTTGCCACGGAAAGGGGGCTGTACCTACCCTCTGTTCATGCTCCCTTAAAAAGAAGTTACTTTTCTCTTAAGGTGTCATGGAGAAACTCCAGCTCGGCCCAGAGATTCTGCGGAAGGAGAACCCAAAGCTCATCTATGCCAGGCTGACTGGGTTTGGCCAGTCAGGACGGCTCTCCAAGGTAGCAGGCCATGACATCAACTTTTTGGCTTTGTCGGGTATGTTGAAAAAATAATTTCTCGGCACTTTTAATTTTGTTTCCAGTCAAGATCTACTTAGTTACACCAGCTACTTAAAAAGCATCTTTACCTGCGAACCAGAGGATTGTGGTTCGATTCCCAGTCAGGGCACATGCCTGGGTTGCAGGCCAGTTCCCAGCAGGGGACGCACAAGAGGCAACCATACGTTGATATTTCTCTCCTTCCCTTCGCTTCTAAAGATAAATAAATAAAATCTTAAAAAAAAGATGAGAAGAAAAAGCATCTTTAAAGGTGAATATTTAAATCAGGGAGTATGGGGAAAGTATGGTAGTTTGCAAAGGGTCAGCTTGTCTCGGAGCTGTCCTTGTTCCTCACCCCACCTTAATGCACTTGATGAGAGCACACCTCATTAGTGACGTACTAGCCGCATCTGTGAAGTCGGTTTTCCAGCAAGCCCCCCTGCTAGGAAGGGGCTTGGTGGTAGCAGGGGTGGTTGCTCCCCAGTTTGAAAATGCTGATGGAGTTTGGCTCCGACACCCCTCTTTCCCCACCTTCATGGAGAATCCTTATTGCCCCAGTCACCACGTCAGTGGACACGGGACAGCAGTGGCTTTCAGGTCACACCACCACTTCATCAGAATTGTTGCCGGTGAGGAATGGTTGTAGGACGGCCTGATTCTAACATTTGAGAACAGTGTGGGGTTGAGTGAATTGTCTCAGAATTTCTGTGAGGACACATTTGAAGGCGGAGGAAAAGAGTGAATATAGAATTGGGTTTTCACATCTGTTTAGAAACTGAATTCCTTTTCTTCTGTGTTTGGTTATTTCTTGCATCTCTTTCTAATAAGAATGGAATTGTGTTATACTGTTTAGGCATAAACTGAATTGAGTACAATCTTTCTTTGCCCTGGAAGCATTTTCTCATTTTACTCAGTAAGGAAGAACTTAGAAATAAAGTCCTGAAAATGGTAGGTAGAATGAAGTTTTAGAAAAGAAAAACACAAAAAAACACAAGAAGGAACCTAGTTGGAGGGAGAGCCTGTTTGTGAATATGCTGAATATGTTTTGAATCGGAAAGGCATCCTGCTCTAGTTTTCGCTTACGTCAGCAAGTAGAGAGATTGGTTATTCCTCTGAGATGTTCATGTATTTACTTAAAAGGTGCATCACGCTGGCAGTTAGTGGGCTCTGATTTTCTTTGTAGGTGTTCTGTCAAAACTGGGCAGAAGTGGTGAGAACCCGTATGCTCCACTGAACCTCCTGGCCGACTTCGGGGGCGGCGGCCTCATGTGTGCCCTGGGCATCGTGATGGCTCTTTTTGAACGCACACGCTCGGGCAAAGGGCAGGTCATCGATGCGAGCATGGTGAGTGTTAGTGGGGGATCGCTCCTCCTGCCAGTTGCTCCTAAGGACGACATACGGCTGCCTCAAGTCCTTTTCCAAAGGAGACATCAGCGAGATCTAAAGTTGGAATCCAGGTTCGCAAAGATATCTCTGAAAACGGTGCACACAAGTTCCTATTCTTTACAGGAGTCGGAATGTCATCCTGTGACCATGTGTTCGTGGAGTCTGTTTTATAAAATTTGTGTGACTCCCCTGATTCTTGAATTTTATTATTAATTTTCCCCAAGCTGTTTCTTGTGATGAGAATATAGTTTTCATGAAACCCCTTGTTCAGAACTGGGTTTAAGAAATCTTCCTCAGCCGACAAGATTTTTTTTTAATCCTCATCTGAGGACACACTCATTAATTTTAGAGAGAGGGGAAGGGACAGGGAGGGGGAAGAGAGGGAGAGAAACACCAATCCGTTGCCTCTCGTATGTGCCCTGACCATGCCCTGACCGCACCCTGACCGTGCCCCAGCAGGGGACCAAGTCCACCACCCAGACATGTGCCCTGACTGGGAATTGAACCTGCGACCTTTTAGTTTATAGAACAATGCTCCAACCAACTGAGCCACCCTGGCCAGGGCAGCAGAGGATTCTTAAGGATGTTAAGGTGAAATACCAGTCTGGACCTTCCTGCTGCACTTTGTAGGGGAGACTTGGACATCATAATGGTTCTTTTTTTTTTTCACTGTGGTACATTGACCCTTTGCCTTACGCAGGTGTTCAGCTAGACACCTCCCCTGCGTGAGTTCTTCTGATCCGATTTCATTTGGAACACATTGTCATTTTAAAGAGGAGTTTTCTGAAGCATAGAAATTTGTCCAGGGTCTCACGGCTAGTTGTATGAGCCCAATCCAGTGCCGTGACACGTTTGCATCTGGACAGACCTCTGGAGGTAGGACGGGGCCCGGACTTGAGGGAGATAAGACTGGGGGCCCAGATGGTTACTGGGTCACTGCCTAGAGATAAGAGCAAGTGCTAAAGTAGTTAGTGGTAGAATGGGTCTGGAAGTAAGGGACACTTGAGATCTTAAAGCTGGGATTTGGCAATGCATTGGCCAAAGGGGGAGAGGAAAGAATCGAGGATGGCCCCCTTATTTCTGGCGTGGGTGAGTGGTGGATGGTGTCAGTGGCACCCTGGGGAGGATTGCTGAAGGAGGAGGCAGTGTTGCACAGTGGTCAGGAGCGCGGATTCTGGTAACTGACTTCCAGCTCTGCCGCTTCCTAGCTCTGTGATCTTGGGTATGTTACTTAACCTCTCTGTGCCTCGGTCCTTTGTGAAACGGAGATAATAATGGTGTCTGCCTCGTAGCGTTGCTAGAGAATTGAATGAGTTTCGGTGTTCAGTGAGTAAACAGTGCCTGGCACTCGGTGAGAATTTGTTGTCGTATTTTTCTGGGAAGAAGAAAAAGAAGAAAAGGAGTTCAGTGTTGGTGATTTCAAGTTTGAAGTGCCTTTGAGATGTCCAGGAGGGACACGTGAAGTTAAAGACTAGAAACAGGTTTTAGCCATTTGGGAGCACGTGAGACCGTGGCCTGCTGGGGACAACGGGGGTGGGGATCGGGGCGGAACACCAGCATTTGAGGAGTGAGCGAGCAGGAGAGAAGCAAGTGCTGAGGAGAGCTGAGTGGGGGACCGGAGGGAGTGTTGTCAAGGCAAGAGCTCCCAGAAAAAGGAATGGTCAGGGGTCATATGTTGGTGGTGACCTCAAGCGTTTAAAACTGAACAGTCCTGTAAATTGGAGTTGTTGTCGGTGGCCTTTGGAAAGCTGTTTGCTGCCAGGATCCCTCATCTCTGCAGCCTTGGCTTGCACTTCGCCTCTCAGGCGAATCACTCACAGCCTGGTACTGCTTCTGTGCCTCCTGAGTCTGCCCTCAGGGTACATCTCACACTGTCCCTTGTGTCCCCCGGCCTTCCGTCTCAGCTCCTGGCCCGGTCCCGGCATGCACTAGGTGGAGTTTCCACCTACCACGAGGCAGGTGTGAGGCTAGTGCTCCGCGGCTCTCTCCCCTCCCCATCCACACGGCTCCCTGGAGGAGGTGTGCTCACTCTCATCTGGCGGTTGAAGACTTTCAGACCTGGGAGGATAACGGAAAAGAAGGCTCAGGGGTCGGAAGCTCAGCACTCGGGCTGTTTGATGCTGCAGCATGTGCTCTCAGTTAGTGGCCTCTACTGCCCTCTACTGGTCCCTGTGATCAGGGGGACTTTACTAAAGACAAGCATGGGCCTTGGGAGATTTAAGGAGAATTTAAGGCTAAGTACTTACTTAGTAAGAATTTGAATAATTTGCCAATGACATGTAATTGCTTATTTGTAGTCGAATGTCAGTTAAATATAATAGCTACTTTCATCGGACTGTGTCTAACAGAATTTCATGGGGGTGGGACGATGGTAAGGTTTCAGTGCATGTGAAAATGGTGTAAGCTTTGTTTGGGTTTCTGTTTGCTTCAGGGGACAGTGAGTGTGGGGTAATTTCTCAAGGCCAAATGGGTCAGTCAAGCACCATATTCGTTACCTCCCCCATCCCTGGGAACACATGTGCTAAAAACAGTTTGTAGAAGCTCAGTACCTTACTGTTTTAGGCCAGTGGTCTCCAGACGTTTTAGCAGTAGCATCCTGTGATGACCAGGATTTGTCTCTTCACGGTGCTGTTTCCCTGAAAACTGCAGGGTTAGGGTAACTGGAGGACGAGGGGTCCATGGGGCTGCGTTTACCCTTGGTCTGGGGGCTGTGCGTTGGCCTGTGGCCTTTGGTCTGTACCGTGAGGCCAGCATGAAAGGCTGGGGGATTGAGGCTGCAGTTCGCCTGTGTTACATGTGCACTGTGTCTGTGGCCACAATCACTGTGTGAGGCGAGGGGGTGCCATGGGCCCAGGGAGCCTGGCAACCACACAGGATTGCGCCTGCTGTGTCTCTTGTCCTGTGCCCTCCCACGGCACCGAGTGACAGCAGTGGAGCCTGTGTACCCTGAGTGGGCCAGACGGACCCGTAGCTCCACTGGTGCATCTTTTTCAACAGACGCATCAGTACGTCTGGTGTGTAAGAGATTATGTTTGTAAGTGTATTGTATGTAATTGCGTATATCACCATATGTGTGTATACACACGTGTATTAAATGTGGATACTTGCTGAGATGTGTGTAACACAGATTCAAAAATTTGCATTGCCATAGGCTACTTCAGCCAACTCCATGATTTTGGTGATGTCAAACATCAGAGCCATAAATTCAGGTGTACATGAGATTTCAAGTTAAAAGGGAGAACTAGGATGTATCCAAAGTGACAATTTGCATTTGTTTCACAGCTAGTAAGTGTGAGAAATTCCACACTCACAGTCTGAAATGGTCAGACTGGGATGAGCTAGATGTTGCCATAACCTGGTGAACCTTCAGAATTCGATAGGCTTTGCATCTGTGGGTCTGTGTTTGTAGACATTGAGACCAGACGATGGATTTTGAAAAGCTTTTTGCTTTATTTTTAGCTTTTTACCCAGTTTTTAACATACACAAGTTGAAGGAGTATATTGTAAATGGACTTCCTACTCTGACATACGTCAAAAATTATCAACATTTTGCCAGTCTTATTTGAAAGGAAGAACAAAAGTGCTACCTTCTAATTTTCTAAACAGTATTTTCTGAACTGAACAGTGTAGAAACCCACTGTACCAAGAACCTGCACTAAATTTCTCAAAATATCAAAGAAGTATAATTGGGTATAATCTTCCTATACTCTAGCATAAACAGTTTTGCACAACCATTAAAAAAAAAACCTAAGTAGAAAGTAACCATGCTTCTACAGTTTAGTTACCTGGATTTGTATTCTGCTTCGTTAAAGGTGGAAGGAGCAGCATATCTCAGTTCTTTCCTGTGGAAGACCAGTAAAACAGGACTGTGGCAGCAACCCCGAGGAGAGAACATTCTAGACGGCGGAGCACCCTTCTATGGGACTTACCGGACGGCGGATGGGGGGTTCATGGCTGTCGGAGCCATAGAGCCCCAGTTCTATGAGCTGCTGATCAAAGGTCAGGAGCTTTCACACCCCTCCCTGACTGCCCCCTCCTTTTCTGTGGATGTTCTTTAGCCTCTGTTGTGGAGCATTTTGAAATTCATGGTGTCTTTTATTACATATTCACTTCATCAGCAACCTCGTTCTGCCGTCATTATGTTGTGGGATATTTCTCCCACCTTTTAAATTGGCGGGCAATTTTACAGTTCAAGGAAATAACTCAAGACTTTAAGACATAAGAATCTCTTTTGTGGGGGGTCAGTGTTTTTAGTACATTTCATACTCCGCAGCTTTGGATATTTATCTTGCCCTTGTGTGCTGTGATCCTGCTCTTCCCTGCAAACGACTGCGTGTTCATCCTGTTCTTTGGCGGACATCCCTCATGACACTTCAGTGTCAATGTCACCAGAGCACAGAAAGATTTCGGTGAATGAAACTGTTGGAATATGATACCGAGTGCTTCTGCAGTTTACCTTCCTCGCAGATTCTTGTCTTACTCGCATGGTACCTGAAGTTAGCAAGATCTATCCCTGCTTCCCTAATTAAGTAGTTGAACTGAAGTTATTTTGTTCTGTGAAATGTTTGAATGTAAAGTTTATTTTACAGATAATTTAGTATCTAAGAAGTTTTAGAATATACTCTGAAGTGGTGTGACAAACTGATCACAGTGCATTTATTTTTCAACTGTACACTTGGAGTTTCACTGTTTGGTGTGGTAGCTGTTCAGGGGAGGTGCGCTACTCAGTTATTGCGTGTAGCTGAAATGACTGCTATTGCAAGCATCAGAGGGCATTTTATGATCAACTCTGTTAACTTCTACCACCTTAAATGTAGTTGGAAGAACCGTAGAACAGAACGGCTTATCAGGATCACGTAAGATGCCTTTTTGTCCAGAAATTAAAACTAAGAATAAAAAGCATTCTTTCAAAATTCTGGAGAGACAAGTGCTATACAAAGGGCTGAGCGGTGGGAACAAAACTTCTACCATGAAGGTGGATGGCCCTGGAGAGCCGCAGGGACAGAGCACAGTGGAGTTCGCACCTTGTTCATTTACTGCATCGCGTCGTCTGTAGAGAATTTAGATACAATATAAATTGACCAAACTTCAGCCAGCTTTTTAATATCACCAGGCACAGGCACTTCCGAGCAAGAGCGATAAAACATATTCACTGAAAAAAATTTTGTTGCTTTCAGTTGTAAACAATCGCGACAATTACTGTTGAGTTCTAATCATGGTAGCATGATTAGCACTTTTTAAAGCACTTACCCTTTCGTAAACTTTGCATAGAGGCTATTCAGGGAACTCCCCCTTATACTGTCTCACCCCTATGTTGTCTTTGAAGGGCTTTGTAGTTTCAATGCTCGCATACAGGCCTCTGATCCATTTTGAGTTTTAATGTTTGAATACAAGGTAAGGTAGGGGTTCAGCTTCGTCCTTTTGCATGTGGCCCTGCAGACTTCCCAGTACCACTTGTTGAAAAGACTGTGCTTTCTCCAGTGATGGGCTTTGCATCCTCATTAAAAATCAGCTGGCCGTCAGTGTAAGGGTTCACTTTTGGATTCTCATTTCCGTTCCGCTGATTTATGTGTTTATCCTCACACCAGCACCACACTGTCTTGATTATGTTGCTTGTGGTGATTTTAAAATCAGAAAGTGTGAGTCTTCCAATTTCGTTCTTTTTCAAGTTGTTTTAGCTGCTCAGGTCCCTTTCATTTTCATATGACTTTTAGGATCAGCCTGCCAATTTCTGTGAGAAAAGCGAGCGGGGATTTTGATAGGGACTGTTTTGAGTCTGTGCCTCAGTCTGGGAAATTTTGGCATCTTAACAGTATTAAGCCTTATGCGCCATGAATGTGGCACTCTTGTCATTAATTTAGGTCTTCTCTACTTTCTTTTGGTGGTGCTTTGTAGTTTTCGATACACAAGGCCTGAGCTACTATGCTTAAATTCATTCTGTAGCATTTTGTTCTTTTCGATACTGTTGTAAGTGGTAACATGTTTCAGATCATTTCTATAGAAATACATAATATGTCGTGATTTTTGTATTTGATCTTGTTTCCTGTGACCTCATAGGGCTGGTTTATTGGTTCTAGGTGTAGATCTCTTTGAGTTTATCTTGCTCGACTTTCTTGAGATTCTTGATGCACAGTGAATGTTTTTCCATCAAGTCTGGGAAATTTTAGACATGATTTCTTCTAGGATCTTTTTGTCCTTTCTCTCTCTTCTGCTCTGAGATTCCTTAATGCCTATGTTGATATTTATGATGCTGTACCGAAGGTCTCTAAGGCTTTGTTTATTTGCCTTTGTTATTTCCTTTCTGGTTTTCAGGCTGGGTAAAGTCAGTTTGCCTCTTTTCCAGCTTCCTGATTCTTTCTTGTCAGTTTACGTCTGCATCGAGCCACTCTAATGGAGTTTTCACGTGATATTGCACTCTTCAGCTTCAGAATTTCTATTTGGCTCCTTTTTAAGAATAATTTCTATCTCCTTATTGATATTCTCTATTTGATGAAACACTGTTCTCATTCTTTCCCTATTTCCGTAGGTATGGTTTCCTTTAGTGCCAAGGCGTATTCAGAATTGATGGTTGGAAGTCTTCGTTTGGTAAATCCAACATGGGGCTTCTTCAGGGACACCGTGTATTCATCTTCATTGATTGTTTTTTTTTTACTGTGTATGGATCATACTTTCCTTCCTTTTTGCATGCCTTACAATTTTTTTAAATTGAAACTGGATATTTTAAAGAGTGTAATGTAGCAACTCTGGATATCAGGTCTCTCCTTTTCCTTCCCCAATCCTGCATTTGTAGTTACTGCTGTTGGTTTATTTAATGACTTTTCTGGGCTAAATCTTCATTTTTTTAAATCATGTACAGCCACTTATGTGCTTGGTTAGCTTAGTGGTCACCTGGTGATTGGATAGAGACACCCTTAAGTGCCTTGAGCCAATAAATCAATGATCCTTTGCTGAGGAACTCTGAGTCTTTACTTTTTATTTGTTCAGAGACTCAAGGTCAGCCAGAGGTGAAAGATTAGTACCTTCTCCTATCTCTCCTGCGCATGCTCACTACCCTGGGCATTTGCACGGATTCTAAACTCTAGGAATACGTTGGAGCTTTTCAGAGTCCCCCGTGGACATCCTGTTCTGCACTCTTTTTAAAGTTGTTTAATCAGCTTTATGTGAGTCTCAACAAGGACTGCCGTCTCAGATAGCTGTGATGTGAAACAGTTGATGCTGATTTTTTTTTCTTGACGTTCTGGGAATGGGGCTGTTCTGAGTGAGATCAGATAAAGACAGCCCCGCAAATGGAGCCTCCAGACAGGCCGAACAGTGGGAGTTCTCTGGGGATGGGGCTCGGGGGGAGCTCCAAGTTCACTCTGCCCCCTTCATGCTGGAGAGAAAAGTCCGGGTGCCCCACTGACGACAGGGTGGCTGATGACTTTCTGTCCCATTTGCTGTAAGAACAATTTGCAGTGAGTCTTTGCTCACTCTACAGGTTTTTTGTTCCTAGTTCCCAGCAGTGTTTTTAAGAGGGTAATGGATTAAATATCACTGCCTTCCTAGAGCTCTTTAATTTGCTAAAGTACAGAATTAATGTTATTTATAAAATTGCAATCTTGAATTTAATTTATCATTAGGCTTCTTCCTTATCCACATAGGCATTAAGGAATCTCAGAGCAGAAGAGAGAGAAAGGGCAAAAAAAATCTTTGAAGAAATCATGTCTAAAATTTCCCAAATTTGATGAAAAAACATTAATTATGCATAAACTGAAGGAGACAGATGTAAATTGTGTAAATTTTATCATTTGTAGGGTTTGGGATTGTTAATTGCAGTGTGAGGTTATTTTAAATCAACATGACAGATAATAGCATCACAAGGAAATTTTTGTCTGAAAACCTATTCAGAGCAAAGAAATAGATTTCTGGAGACTAGACCAGTAAAAATAGACTACTTATGATGAAGTGTAAGTAATAACATCTTGGCATGGAAAATCTATCTGGATTTTTGCTACCCCTACTACCTCTGCCCTTGGCAGCCTTTGGTTCCAGCTGCAAGCCGAGTTTGAATTTCTTTTTACCCCTTTGAGAAGCCCTTACGGAATATCCTACTTGGGACAGTAAGCTTAAAACTCATTTTCATTGATTATAATCATCCCATCCAAAGCATAATAATTTAAGAAATTGTGATTTTCCTCTCAGGACTTGGGCTAAAGTCTGATGAACTTCCTAATCAGATGAGCATGACTGATTGGCCAGAAATGAAGAGGAAATTTGCAGATATATTTGCAAAGAAGACAAAGGCAGAGTGGTGTCAGATCTTCGATGGTACCGACGCGTGCGTGACTCCGGTTCTGACCTGTGAAGAGGCTCCCCATCTGGACCATAACCAGGAGCGGGGCTCCTTTATCGCTGATGTGGAGCAGGGTGTGAGTCCCCGCCCCGCACCTGTGCTGTCGCACACCCCAGCCACCCCTTCTTTGGGAAGGGGTCCTTTGGTGGGAGAACATACTGAAGAGATACTTACAGAATTTGGGTTCAGCCAGGAAGAGATGGATCAGCTCTACTCAGATAAAATTATCCAAAGCAGTAAGCCGAGAGCTAATCTGTAAAGCCCAGGCCCCTCAGCTCAGTGAGTTTGAGTATCGCATTTACAGTGTGGAAGGATTCATGCAGTGTATGCATGGAAACAAGGAAGAGCAGAATCACAGAATTCTGACTCTCCTAATCCAGAAACAAGAAATAAGAAACCAATAACAATCACTCAGCTTCCGAAAATGGTTAACATTAGGGCTTTTGATTTAGGAGTGTTTTTAGTTTACCTATACTAAATTGCAGCAATTTTTCTATCTTCCATTTGCTTGAGATTATATTTGTTGATATTAAAAAATACTCAGATACTTATAATATAGTTTAAATGAATTAATATAATGCTATTTATTAAATAAAGCTTCCCCTACCCAAGGTTTACTTGTGAGCTTTTAAGTCTGAAAAGCTTTTGAGAAAGTCCTGAAAGTAGCAGTTAGATAGTATTTTGTGACTCGTTGAAATATTTTTGGCTCTCCTGTTTACCAAAATGAAGGACCTTAGGTAGAAAAGCCTGATCCTTTTAATTTGACCAAGGAAATTTCTCAGCCAGTGTCTCTGAATTAGAAGTTTAGTGTTGGGGGCTCCACCCGCAGGGCCCCTCCAGCCCCCATGGATGAGAGTCTACCAAGACATGATCTGCTTGGGGAGGAAGGGTGACGGATCTCTTAAAGGAGAAGGGCCAAGAGCCTTTGCCTCGGAGGGCTTTTACTGGGTTCATTTTTCACAGGAATACAGGTAAAGCTCATCAATCATTGTCAGGCAGTAAGGATCAAACAATAGATGACACACTTGCTTGGACCCTTATTCAATTGAGAACATTCTAAACAAAGCAGGTTTCACAGGATTTTACATATTCTAACTCGCCCTTTCCAGCACAGGGCTGTACCCACCACCAGCATTGTTTCAGGCTTAAGTCAGGCAGGGGCAGTAAGGCAGCCAAGAGATTAGGAGACTTCTTGCAGACAGAATGAACACTCAGGCTATGTCATAGCTGAGGGGCGAGGGTCCATCACCCCCTTTTGCTATAGTCCCCCAAGTCCTTCCCCGGGGCCTCCACATGATCATGCCTGTCTTAGGTCGTTCCCCCCTTGGGGAATCTTACTCGTCATTGGCTAACCAACCAAGCATTGGGGGCTAATTATGGATGAAGAAAAAGGAGCAGAAGCGGCACTCCTGCCAGGGAGATAAGCCTCATCTCCTTAGTGGCTTACAGTCTGAAGGTTGCGTTCTCAACCTTAGCCATGGGGGGATTACAGCTTCTGAAACCAGGCAGGGGGGTTCCCAAAAGTTTAGAAAATGCCCCTGAAACTTCCTGCAGATAACTCCCACCTCTCGAACAGAGCCCTCTGTATAGAGAGCCCGATTCCTCTGTGCAGCTGTTGGTTAGCGTCACCCAGGTGTGCTTCGTGTCCCGTGAACTGCGCCGTCATCCACTCAATAGGCCTCGTACACTCTTCCTACAGTTTCCAGTTTCCATTCCCCTCCTGTCTCCCTCTGCCCCCAGCAGGCCCTCGGCTTACACCTCACTTCACTTAGGCCGCTGGCCCAATGTCACCTTATGGGGAGTCCTTTCCTGACCCCGGTCTGAAATAGCAGCCACCTTATCACTTGCTGTCACCAGTTTTACTTCTCTTCACACCGCATATCACCACTGACACACTAACCGCAGCCCTCATCCCCTGTGAACCGACGCGTGCCAGAGTGTGGAAGCTGTGTAACGGACTCTAGGCTTCGCCGCTCAATCCCCAGTTCCCAGAGTTGTGCCAAGCCCTTAGTGAACAATGCGTGAATTCAAAGGAATGGAACTCAGCAGTGATGCTTTCTCGGTTCCACCTCCCGAGCTGAGTTTTTTTCAGTGATTATGTTTTATCACTGTCACTTAGAAGTGCCTGTGCGTGGTGATATTAAAAAGCTGGCTGGAGTTTGGTTGACTTGCATTATATTTAAATTTTCTGTAGATGCATTAAATGAACAAGGTGCAGACTCCACTGTGCCGTGTCCGTGCCCCTCATCCTCCCGCCTGCCTCATTCATTCGGGCCCTTCTTGCTGCTCCCCGGGCTGCTGCTCAGCTTCTCTGGGACTTTGACCTCCAGTGCCATCTCCATTGTTTTCATTGTGTTGTGGACACCATGCCAGTCTTTTTCACTCCTGTAAAATCCTTTAGTACTTTTTCCTTGTATAGAATGCAATTCTAACTCATTTGTATAGCATATCAACCCTTTATTTATAATAAGGCTTCTACCCAGCTGCCCAGGCCCCCCAGCACTTTGTACTGGACCTGAAGTTTGTGAACATGCTGTGCTCTTTCCTGCTTCCATTCCTTCCCCTACACTGCAGCGTTTTCCAGGACTGACAATGCTCCTGACCCGTCTCGCTCCAGCAGATGGATCCAGCAGACCCAGACCTGGCTCAAACACGGTCTTCTTTGTGAAACTTCCTTCCTCTCTCAGCCCTAGGGCGGTTTTGTACAGTAATGATGAACTTGGAGCAGAAAGGCCTTGGGCTCACATCTGGCTCTGTCATGGTGATGTCCAAGGCAATGCCGTGATGTCCCTGGGACACCCTGGGTGCCAGGTGTTGGCTCCTAGCCTTAGGCACTCTTGCCATGTTTCCAGTGCACCTTGCACACATCTCCAAGGATAGTAGTTGTTTTTAGTGGCATTTACACGACTCTTTACCAGACCACAAACTCCTGGCACACAGAAGAGTCATCTGGTGATACTGTTAAAACACATCCCTAGAGCTCATCTGTAGAGGTTCTGATGTAGTGGGTGGGACCCCATAATTTGCATTTTTACCAGACTTGATTGTAATGCTTCCAGTTCAGAAGTCACACTTTGAGTAGTGCTGTTCTAATGGATATGAACCAAATCCTTTTATCTTTTTAATGTCACAAGAGGTGCTAATAATCTGTTGAATAGATTGGTGATGAAAAGGATAAAAACCAGTTGGCAGAAAGTTGTACATAGACGGACTACCTTAGAGTATTATTTTCTGTGATTAATTAACTTGGCACAAAATGTTTGAATGAAAAATTGGTTTTTGTAAGGTGTGAACTTTTAATGAATAAAAGCATATAAATAGGGTCACTGGCTTTTGTTAGTCACCCATACGTTTTTCCTGGAGTGTAAGCCTTGTGCAGATAAGGCTGTACTTTCTCTCTTTTTAGTTATATTTTGGCAAACTGTAGATTTAGAAATAGGCAAGGGTGCGGGTAAGGGGGTGGAAATTCTAGTGAAAGAAGAATTATATTGTTTTTGTTTTCACTTAATTTTTAAAAATTAGGTTTACTGGGTAACATTGGTTAATAACATTACATACATTCAGGTATATTCCTAATTGGACACCTGTGTACCCTGGAGCATGCTCCCCACGCAAGTCCAGTTTCCTTCCATTACCGTGTATTTGACCCCCTTTACGCACAATACCCTCTTCTCCCCCCCCCCCAGTAACTACCAGTGTGTCGCCTGACTCTGACTTGGTTTTTGTTTGTTTTATTCATTTTTTACTTTTTGTTTCGTATACCACATGTGAGTGAAATCCCACAGTTTTCGTCCTTTTCCGTCTTGAGTTATTTTAATGACTCGGCGTAATACTCTCAAGAGCCACCCAGGCTGTTGCAAACGCCAGTACTCCACTCCACCTAGGCACCACCTCTTCTTTCTCTGGCCATCTATCAGCAGGCACCGAGGGTGTTTCCCTGTCTGGGCTGTTGTGAATAATGCTGCAGGGCACATAGGGTCCCATATATCTTTACAAATAAGTGTTTTCACATTTTGGGGGTAAATACAGGAAGAAGAATTACTAGGCTACATGATACTAATTTTTGAGAAGCCTTTACACTGGTTTTCATCGTGGCTGCACTAAGTTATAGTCCCATAACAGGAAATACGTACTTGAATACATAGGGATTCTGTCCTGGAACGTATGCTTCAGGATACATTTACTTTACTCTCTTTTGATCTGCAGTGTCCAGTGCTATAACTGTATGGTAGTAAGTAAAACGAGGCACGTGGAGCCAGGCGGACTGGCTGCATCAAGGCCGCTCGTCTCCGGATCTCTATCTCGTGTCTAAGCGCATTCCAGGCTTCCGTCACAGTTACACTGGAGCAGTTCATAATCTGCAACATACTTTTACTGACATCAAATCAGGGTGCCTTGGACTGCAAGGAACTAAATCCATAACAGGAAAGAAACGTTCTGAGTCACGTACCTGGAACCCAGAAGTGAGTTTCTGGGCCGAGTGGGTCCAGTCACTGCGGCCCTGTTTGCACTGTCCGGCTCTGCTTTGTCCTCAGCCTGGGAAGCAAGCTCTGGACCCCAGAGCCACACAGCCACATCCAGAAGGGGTGAGGGAGTCCTTGCGAACCTTATCTCTTGTGTCCTTAGAGGTGGCTAAGTCACAAGCCGGCCCTACACCAGTCTTTGGCAGAGAAGGTAAGAGCACCCTTATGTAAAGCCAGCCAGCTCCTGGAACACCCCCGGGCTCTGCTTCCTGGGAGCACGCGTGTGTATGAGGGACGGGTGGATTCTGGAATCCAATCTAGGTTCCCTCAGAATTGGGGCGTGGGGAATGGTCGGGTGGGCAGCCAACAACACCGGTGTCCGTTTATGTGCAATATTTCCGCCGCATTTCCACAACCGCAGGGCAAGTCAGGCAGGTTTTCTTCCTTTTATGGACGAGAACACGAGACTCCCAGAGCCCCGACCTTCTCAGGTCAGGTCTCCCTTCATGGCTCAGTAATTTCTTCATGGTGTCATCCCCGGCCAAAGGAAATATCTAACCATTCCATTCACGATTGTGTCCCAACCACTTAGTATTTATGTCCTAACAAGTAATTAGCCATTTGAAAAATACAATATACATAAATAGAAGTCATGTTTTAATTTTTATCTTGGTCTGAATCGCAATGACAAATGGGTCACGTGCCCCTGTGCGGCATTGCACACGTCACGTGTCTGGGACTCAGACGCGTGCTGCTCTCGCCTTCTGTAGTGCGAGTGTGAGTTCACACCTCCTACATCACAAGTGTGAACCGCCTCACAAGTAGTTCAGGTGGTGTCCTTGCGAATTCATTGTTGTGCACTGGGGTGCCTTGGTGCACAGTTTGGGAAACGGCATTTTAAGTGGCTTTGTTTGGGGAAAGACAGAGAAGAAGAGGCAGAACCAGAATCAAAAATTGAATATTCTGACTCCTGCCTCCAGAGCTTGCTCTTACTCTGTTTTTAGGGCCCTTCCTATGGAGTCCCGTTTCCCCTGCCACCCAGGAGTTTTCATGTGAACTCAGGCTCCAGCAAGGAAAGTAAGACCCACTCCAAGTCTTTAAAATAGAGGAAACTTGATAGAGCTGCACTGCTGGGAAAGAGCCGAGAGGCCGTGGGGACAGTGAGGTGACCCGAGAGGCACTGGGAAGCTGGCCCGCTCTGAATGTCTGCAGGGCCGAATGGAAAGATAGTGTCCCCAGGCCCAGGAGACAAGGTTCCCTGGAAGAAAGGACCCAGTGGAGACACAAACCACTTTCAGAGACCTCTCTGGAAAGAGAGAGGGGGAGGAGGTGGGATTTCTCCCCTTCTCCTGCCCTTGTATTTCACCAGAGCCCCCACTGACCACATCTGCCTAAGAGGCAGAGAGCAACAGAACCTGGGAAATGCACTTTCTCATGATCCAGAGCATGGGAGGAGGGGCAAGAAATGGACCCGAGCAAATAGGCAGTCAACCGGCACTACGAAATATAGTGCATCTACTTCATTCAGTAATTCCTCTAGCCAATATTTGAGGACCTGCCATAGGCGCCAGGTACCGTGCTGGCTGCTAGGGGTGCCATTATGGACAAAAAGCCCCTGATCACTACTCAAGGGGACCAGACAGTGATGAGCCCAGGGGAAATGAGAATGAACACAAACCGTCTAATTGTAAAGCGTGTTTAGTGCAATGCAGGAAAACATCACGGTGTTGAGGGAGCTAGTGGTTTAGAGGAAAGGTACAACCATGTACTTCTTCGAGTCTAGTTAATTGACTCTTCAGGCGTGTGTGTGTGTGTGTGTGTGTGTAGAAAACTCATATTCAGGAAAGAACAGAGTATTTATATCCAGATAAAGTTTTTAAAAGACAGCAACCTAACGTTTCGACTTAACACCTGCTTATAGGGCTTTATTGTCTCAAAGCTGCGTGTATGATATCGCATGCAGTAGAATGTGTGCCTGTGTTTGTGTGTTGGAGAGAGAAAGAGTCCAAGAGACAGAGAGGGGAGGGATAAGTGCAAAGGAAGATTCCTTCAGAAAAGCATTGTAAGGGCAGCTAATCTCTAGCAGGCTTTCTAGGCCCCACCCCCTTTCCCTCATCATAACTTGTGATCTTAGAGGCATGAAAGAATTTGAGCCCTTCCCCCAGCCTCACCATCTCTCTTGGCTGCTGTGCCAGGCTCCAAGTCAAATCCAGCGCACAGACCAGAGGGGCCACGCAGGAGGTGGTGGGCTTGCAGGCAGGTTCCTCACCCAGTGGCCATGGGTGGCAACAAAGGACAGTCTGGCGTCGACCTTGCTACCTCTCCGGCTGAGGAGTACCCCTTTGGCTGTGTGGAGCTGCCCAAAAGATCCACAGGCCGGCTCATCATGCACAGCATGGCCATGTTCGGCCGGGAGTTCTGCTACGCAGTGGAGGCGGCCTACGTGACCCCGGTCCTGCTCAGTGTGGGCCTGCCCAGGAGCCTGTACAGCATGGTGTGGCTCCTCAGCCCTGTCCTGGGATTCCTGCTGCAGCCCGTGGTGGGCTCGGCCAGTGACTACTGCCGGGCTGGGTGGGGCCGGCGCAGACCCTACATCCTCACCCTGGGCGCCATGATGCTCTTGGGCATGGCTCTGTACCTCAACGGGGATGCCATCGTATCAGGTCAGTGCACTGCTCAAGGGGGGCAGGCAGGGGAAGGGTCCTATCGTGCAGCTCTGTTAGAAGTATTCGCATTTCTTTACGTGACACTTAAAAAATTGGTTAGAACCATTTATCTCTCCTAGGTTACAATGAATTTCCAACTTTGAATGACCCAAAGTCTGTGTCTGGGAAGCCTTTACTTTTAGGGACATCAGGATGCATTTTTTTTTTTATTGTGAGGATCTTAAAATAGGGTTCAATTTTTATCTGTTTTATCAAATGAAATATTTTCATGTATTTATTAATTGCAGTATTTTTGAGCTCATTTTACCTTATTTAGCACATCACCAAATTCACCAGCTGTAACTATTTATAATAAATTACTTGTGTGCCCCAATAAGGGTTAATTCTGCTCAGAGAGTTATGCGGAGCTTTCCCGTGGGTGCAGGGCATCCGCTTATCAGCTCAGGGGTCGTTCGGGCATGTACATTCTGGACAAGAACAAACCCGATGGCGAGTACTTTTTCTAGCCATTAATCAACCGTAGTAGTGGGTACTGGTGGATATAAAGTTGCCCTGAAAAAGAGAACCTTAAACATAAAACTAGCATGCAGTTTTAGGCCTTCGAAGTTCAGGCCCGCAGAATGTACAACGATGAGGCAGGATTATTAGTTATCATTTCTGTGTATTTAAAAGGGGGCACAAATACATTCATGTAGGATTATTTCTGGAAGAATCACCAAAAAACTGATAAGAATGTTGCTCCAATACTAAAGGACTGGAGGTGAGAAGGGGAGGATTGGCTTATTTTTACTTATTTTCATATTATAGTTTTAAAAAACATGCATATATTGTGTATTATTTTTTAAAAAAATTAACCGAAAGCAAGGGAAGTGGTTAAGACTGGGTGAACGAATGGCGGCATAGTCACAGAATGAATGTCAGTTGTTCAAAACTGAAACTGCTCTTCATCAGCTGGGATGTGGACGGGAGGAGAGTTGGTTCTGAACGAGCATGCACACAGGACCCCGTTAGAGCTCAGACGTGTGGTCCTCCGTGCTGGTGCATCACTGGCCTCAGGAGATGCAGGTTTCCAGGCCCCACCTCAAACTTCCTGCAGAATCATGGGAGAATCACGGGAGATGGAGCCCAACAATCTGTTTCGACAAGCCAGCTGAGTGTTGGCCAAGCGAGCCGAAGTTTGAGAAGCGCTGCATTAAGGCACAGAGGCGCACCTCTCTCTGTGGCGTGTAGAAGGGCCTGCAGGGAAGTGTGAAGGATGACCATCCCCGGGGCTGGGCTCTGAGGCAGTGCCCTGCTTTTCCACATTGTTGGAGTGGTTTTCAATAAGCATGCATAATTTCTAAAACTGCTGTAAGGAGATATGATTCAGATACTATAAAAGTCACCATTTAAAAGTGTACAGTGCAGTGCTTTTTAGTGTTATCTGCAAACTTCTGCTGCCTTCGCCACTATCTACTGCCACAACATTTTCATGGTCCCCAAAGGAAACCCAGTCACTGTGTATTAGAGGTCACTCCCCATTCTCTCTTCCCCACCAGCACAAAGGCAACCGCTCTGCCAGCTCTCTGTCTCTATAGGTTTGCCTTTTCCAGACTTTTATTTGCATAATTTTTAAAACTTAAAAAATAATGAAGTTTTTAAACAAGATTTTACTTATTTATTTTTAGAGAAAGGGGAAGGGAAGAAGAAAGAGAGGGAGAGAAACACCAATACGTGGTTGCCTCTTGTGCGCCCCATATAGAAACCTGGCCCACAACCCAGGCATGTGCCCTGACTGGGAATCAACCTGGCGACCCTTTGGTTTACAGGCCCATGCTCAATCCACTGAGCTATACCAGCCAGGGCTGAAGTTTTTATTTGGAAACACAAAACAAAACGAAAGCAATGGGAGATCATTTGAGGACAGTAAGTTTTGGTGGGAATGAAGATGCGAATCATTCCAAACCAAGATTTAGGTAACCAATGTTCATTTCTCCTTCAGCCTTGGTTGTTGACCCCAGGAGGAAGCTGGTTTGGGCCATCACCACCACCATGATAGGTGTGGTTCTCTTCGATTTTGCTGCCGATTTCATTGACGGGCCCATCAAAGCCTACTTATTTGATGTCTGCTCTCATCCGGACAAGGAGAGGGGTCTCCACTACCACGCCCTCTTCACAGGTAGGGAAGATTCCAGAAAGTCTCTCCTCCAACTCCCAGGCGAGGGCACGTTTGCTGAGGCCGTGTCGCTGCTCTGCACATTGAGTCGTTTGGAGTGAATGGGTCTGTTGATGGGCTGGTCCCGTCACGCGGGGCCATCTTGCAGTGTATCTCTCTGAACAAAGCCAGCTTGTGACCGGGCTGCAGAGCCTTGCAAAGGAAGTTTCCACAAGAGCTTTCTGAAGAACCATTTGTGGAGACAGTTACAACCGATGAAAAGAGGCATTGTGCACTTTACTTTTTGGTTTCTTTCTCTCTGTCTTTTTGATCAGTAATGTAGCATCAGCATTACTTTGGAGCCTTTAAAAATGCCGTTTCCTGGGCCTCTCCTCCAGTTATTTTGATTCAGTGTGTTTAGGGTAGGGGCCCAGAAGTTTGCATTTTTAATAAATACCCCGGATGATTCAGTGGCAGAGAGCCCACGAACCACATTTAAAAACAAAAATAGAAACAAACTAAGCAAATAAACACCAAGATGAAATAAATCCCCCCTTGGAGATTTCTTAGTTCTATAAAGAGTTGTCATTTCCTCAACGTCCCGGTTTCAAAGAGGCCAACCAGGAGGGCAATGGGGCTGCTTCTGGGGCTTCCTTGGGCTGCTGCCATGGTGTTCATTTAGAATTCTGCTACTGAAGTTCAACTTACATGTGGAGAGCACCAGTTAGGACTTGCTGGGACTGCAGGGTTATGCATGAGGCTACAGTGCATCCTGGCCCATGAGAGTTTTTATATTGGTGGCAGGCAGATGGGGCAGACGCTGTCAGACTTCCTTATCTAACTGTATTCAAAGCCCAGTCAATCTGTTTATTTCTGTTTCGATATATTCAGTCTCTCCTTGTGGCCAGGTGTGTCCCTCGAGAAGCGGGATCTTGCATTTTGTGGTTTATGTCTCCACAGCCAAGAGCGGTTCCTGCTCTTGGGAGCCAGTGGGTTAATATCTGTTGTTTGGGCAAATGTTTGAAAGGTGGGTACTGGAGGACAGAGAGCTCTCCATTCTGGCCCTACTGACCTTACTGAACCTTAATTGCCGCCTTAAAGGGCCCACCTCCAAGTGTAGTCTAGTTGCCTTGTGGGTTAGGGCTTCAACACAGTCTCTCTCAGTGAAGGCGGCAGAAACTTCCCTAGAATCCCACAGACTTCTGCTTGCTCCTCACTGGTTAGAATTAGGCTGCATGAGCACCCAGGGGCCTGGGAGGTTTGGAAAGTGAGGGTTTTTTCTTTCTTTTTTTTTTGTAGGGGAAAGTGAGAAAGTGACAGCCAGAGCTCCCAAAGCCCTATCTATTTATTAGTGAATAATTAAATAGTAATTATATTTGAAAGTTATACTCCAGTTCAGTTTTACCTGATCTGCACATTTCTTACAGTACTGTTCCCACTCTCCTGTATTGTAATCCACTCCATGTTTATCTAACTCCTCTGTAAGATTTGTAAACTCCCTCATGAGAATTCACTGCAAATTCTCCATGGCTTCTAACTCATGGCTTTGCTTCTGGCTGACACTTAGAAATGTTAGCTGTGTAAAAGTTTTTCCTGGTTTCAAAATCCTGCTTGTATTTTCTGCAATTTTATATCAAGTTCAACTGCATGGCAAATTGCATCAGCTAGATGAACATGCTTGTTCAGTTGCCTTGCATTGCCTCACGACTAACATGGACTCTGTCTGAACCTCAGTCCACTGTCCGGTTATGGGGGGGTGTGTGGGTGGCTCAAAGCTAGTTTTTCCCCTACTAGATAAGGAAAGCTCAAACATTTTCCTCTTATAAAACAGTACAGTGAGGTCTCACCTTGTTTAAGGCTTAGATTCAAATGTCCCTGCTTAGTGATAATCACAGACGGTGTAGATTATTTGTAAACTTCTCTCATATCACCCATGAAATACAGTATGTTTTGTTTTGTGTATACAGACCTGCATAGTGATGGGTACATATAAACAGATCTGTTAGTATTTGCTCCTGGACGTCGGCTCAGTGAATGGAAGAGTGGATAGGATCTCCCATGTTATTAAAACTGTTATTTTGGCCCTGGCCTGGTGGCTCAGCGGGTTGGAGCTTCGTCATGTACACCAAAAGGTTGCGGGTTTGATTCCCAGTTGGGGTGTGTACTGGCCTACAGGAGGCAGCCGACTGATGTTTTCTGACTTCAATGTTTCTCTCTCTCTCAAAAAAAAATCAATAAACATACCCTCAGATGAGGATTATATAAATAAAATAGAATAAAATATTATCTTGTCTTTCTCGGGCTCTCTCCCTCCCTCCCTCCCTCTTTTCAAAGGGTAAATTCTGTTGGGTGACACGTGGCTGCGTGACTTCACCGTAATCGCCTTGCTCCGAATGTCAGGCCACAGGAAAAGATGGTGTGAAAAACAGCGAGCGCACATTGTCAGTCTGCCCATCTCTGCATACGTACCAGACCTAAATTTGCGTGGCCTTGAAGAGATGGCTACAGCATTCTGCTTGAAGCGAGCATTTTATAAATAAAGGCAAGTTCAGTGTCAGGGCCCACTTGGTTTTCACCAGCACTAAGATATCATTCACCCAAGGAATCCAGTCATCTGAGTAAATTGAAATTCTTTTCCCAGCTGTAGTCCAGGCCCAACAATTTCAAAGGCTTTGCAAACAAGGGTCAAAGTGTTCATTGCCAAAATATGTCCCAGCACACTTCTGACATTTTTATTTTTAAGAAAAGATTCTGGCTCCTGGGGGGGTACATTTTCATCCTCCAGCTCCTTCTGTCTCTTGTACTTGCAGGTGACTTGACCTGCCTTCCATCCCTGGCATATGTAGTAGCCACGGTGGGTATGAGGGTTCCACCCTGTCCTCTCACCCCAGTCTTCACCTCTGTGTGCATCTGAGGATGGAAAGCCCACGCTCACCAGTAGGAAACTAAACCCAAGGCTTTACCATCCTTGGCATCGGGCTCCACTTGGTAGTGGGAGGCTGGGATGAAGCATGATGGCAAAGGCTGTCCAGGTTCAAATTCAGGGTCCTCCTCTTCACCGCCAAGGGTTCTAAATCTCTACACAATATTCGTTATTAATATTCTGGCAAATGATTTCAGACCTGGAGCAAGGAACTATTTAAAAGGAGTCAATGCCAAATGTTACTATATATTTCATTTCCTCCAGGCCCGCCAGGCTTGCAAAAGTTTTATTTGTGATGATGCAGTGAGGAACTGGCCCCATAAACATCTTTGGAAGAAGAACGGGTCATCTGCGAGGCTCAGCCTCTCTGAACTTTTCTCCGTTTTAGTGCTTTAGAGCGTGCACGAGCTTGGCTCTGGTCCGAGTTTGACAGCACAGCCTGCCAGCTAGCCCATTTGTGGGCCCTTCTTCGCAAAGGCCATTATCTCATGTGGCAGCCGATGTCCTTTGGATGTTCTGGCTTACAGCTCACGGTTCGGCCAGTGGCCCGCTGATTGATTCCAGGGCCCTCAAGGAGGCTGATGTTGGCAGGAGAGATAAACACCATCTGGATGTGGATGTGGGAGTTGGTATCAGCCTTTCTTACAGCTAAAATGACTGGGCTTAGTTCAGAAGACTGTCTTTGAAGATGAAATCCTCAGCTTACGCAATGTAACCTCTACAGGCCCCTGCTGGCTTTTATCATACCTGGGGTGAGGGGCATGGGGTGGGGCAGACACAGCTGAACTATTTGGATAGTTTCCCCAAAGGCCTGCCATTCCTTCAGGGTATGTGTTGTTGCAACTTGTAACTACATTCCACAGTAGTCTGGGGACAAACAGAACAATTTTGTCTCTTTCGACTTCCTACCCCTTCCCCAACCTACCCACTCCTGCTCCTAAGAGAACAGGGCATTAGAAATTCTGAGTTATTTGTAACATGTGTCAAGGTTGTTCTTAACTGACTTGTGAGTGAACCGATAGGGAAGATATAAAAAGAACAGTTTCCCTGAGTTCTTGCACAGTGTGTGCGTGTGTGTGTGCACGTGTGTGTATGCGTGTGTGTGTGTGATTAGCAAAAGAAAAAAGTGCTGGGTTACATCACATCTAATTAACCTTCTACAAGGCAAGAAAGCAATAACTCCTCTGTAATTCTTTCAGGGTTATTTTTCTACCAGGCTACAAAAGCAGAATACAAATCAGAGATCCCTGTTAGTATCTGCAAATTAGCTTTAATTTTACAGGAGTGCACACCATTGTGCTTTGTCATTTGTGGATTGTTGGTCTAATATCCTATGACAATGACGTTCGTCCCCCAAGAATGTCGGGTGAGGGTAGAGCTGGTTGACTGCAAACTGCTGTAGCACCTGGCTACTCAGAGTGGCATTGGAACTAGTGACATTGGTGTCACGGGGGGCTTGAAAGGAATGAAGAAAGGAATGTTTGTGTCCCTGCCCCCCAAATCCATATGTTGAACACCTACTACCCAACGCGATAGTGTTGGAAGGTGAGGCCTACGGAAGGTGATGAGGTCGGGAGGACTCAGGAATGGCACTAGTGCCCTAATGAGAGAGCCCCTGGAGGAGAAAGCTCCTTGCCACTTCCCCCGGGTGAGGTTACGGTGGAAAGGCAGCTGTCCAAGAGGAAGTAAGCTCTACACAGACACCAAACCTGCCAGCGCCATGATCTTGGACTTGCCAGCCTCCAGGGCCGTGGGAAAGAAAGGTTTGTTGTTTATAAGCTACCAAATCCATGCTATTTTTGTTATAGCAGCCAGAATTGATTGAGGCAACCTACATGCTAACAAGATATCCATAGGCATGACTTCATGTGCACACTAAAGTTTAAGAAGCACTGCCCTGGAATGATAGTTTATCGTATTTTTTTAAACATTTTTTATTGTGGTTCAAGTACAGTTTTCCGCCCTTTCCCGCCCCTCCCCACCTCCTTCCCCTGTTTCCGTCCCCCCATTATTGTCCATGTGGAATGATATTTTAAAAATCAGGCACTTAACCTTTTTACTCTTTCCAGGTTTAAGATGCATAGTTCTTCCACAATACTTGCTGCCCACCACACTCGGTCAGTGGTAAGCCTAGGTCTCAGCCCTCAGAGCAATCCCAGGACTCTAACCGCTGGGTCTAGAATGACTCGGTCCTTTCATCCATCGCCAGGCAAATTGTCACCCTCAGTGCAGTAGGGACAGCCCCCGCCTCTCAATGGCCTGACTCATGACTTTTTGATTTTACCATGGTGTGAAAACCATACCATTCAGCAGCAACTGTACTTGAAATTTTGATTTTGATCTTTTCCCAGGTCAGGGACATGCAGTAGACACTCTGTTGTGATTCTGGGCAGCAGCGGTGAGCCGCAGCTCCCAGACAGCCACACGATCACCAGGGTAAACAGCTGATACTCTCTACAGTGTTCATTGTGTCAGGTGATTTTGCCCAACTGTCAGCTGATGTAAGTGTTCTGAGCATGTTTAAGATGGGCTGGGCTAGGCAGTGATCTGTCTCCTATCAAATTACTGTATTTTCAAGTTATGATGGTGTATTGAGACATAACCCCATTGGAAGTCAAGGAGCATCTTTAGTCATTGTCTTTGGCTTCTGGGTGAGGCTTTGGACGTAGGATTTCTGTAGGAAGTTAGCCGATCACTGGGTTTTGGTCCTGCTTTTGCCCCTGTATGTGCTAGTATTATACACATGTTGTCATGTTAACCTTCACAAAAGTCATACGAGCATGCATCACCACCCCCAGAGGAGAAGTGTCCATCATCACATGTTCAGAAAGCACACGGGTGGGAATGGAAATCATGCGTAATTCCAAACCCCTTCTTCTCATGCTGTCTCCTGTCTCTCAGCCACAGTAGCCTGTGGACTTCTGAGCTAATCCAACCTTCTGAGCTCCAGACGTCCTTCTGCCTCTAAAACCTTTCGGTTCGTTGCTGTATTGAACTCTTATGCACTTCATTACTAATTAGGAGGAATCCTCTGACAATTATTAATAATCAACATCATCTTGCTACCATTAACTAAGCGTCAAAATAAGCTCATCAGAACTCCTCTATACGCTTTAAGTACCCAGCTCACAGTTCTAACTTATTGTTTGTTACAGTTTTCCTGAAAGTAGTTGTTTACTTATCTGCTTCTCCCACTTGGAATTGCCTTCTGGGGAGGAGGGGGTGGGGAGCTGTGTCTTATTTATGTTTATATTCCCAGAAACTAGGAGGGTCCTTTACATATATTTGGTGTTTGATAAAAATTTATGGAAGTATACTCAACCAGTGGATTTCTAACTAGATCCTAGGGATAACTAGGGAATCCTCCAGTTACAGAACTCAATTGATGTGATGTAAATCCATCATTATATTTATATCTGTACATTTATATTCACAAACTAAAATCACCATTCCATTGAACAGTGGATGATTTATTTTATATATCAATTCTTTCAAATGGCCAAGTGTGTTCTGTTCTATCCTTCCTCTGCTCAATGGAACAATACATTTCAAGGAAAGAGGCATAAATGACAGGAGAATGAAGTGCAGTATGATAACCATTGATCTGGTTGTAAATAAGAAATGGTTTCAAAAAAGGAATGTGTGCATTTTTCATAGGGTTAATTAAGGTCAGGGGTTCTCAACTGGGGGTTGTTTTGCCCCCTAGAGGACATCAGGCAATGTCTGGAGACGTTTCCGATTGTCATGACCAGTGGGGAGGAGTTGGAAAGCTTGTTCCTGGCAGCTAGTGGGGAGAGGCCAGAGGTGCTGCTGAGCACCCCCAGGGCACAGAACAACCCTGCCCAGCAGAATCATCCAGTCCAAACAAACTGTCAGTAGCACCGAGACTAAGAAGCCCCGACTTAGACCCTCGAAAGGTGCTTTGCAGTCAGTACATTCTTGGGTGTCTGCTTGGCCTACCATCACCTGACTTCGGACACCCTGGGCATCCCCACGGTTGCACAAGGAGAGTCACTGTCTAGTGGTGATCCAGGGGCGTCACAGGTCCCAGAACTGCCCTCTGAATCAGCAACAGGTTGTGGCTGCCTTGAGGGCCTCAGCTTCCTCTCTGATCCTGGGCACATAACATCCATGGCAGGTTACCATACGTGTCATTTACCTGTTTATGTATATGCCCATCAGCCATAACTGGACCATTTATCACTGTTGGCAGAGAATGTATGTTTAACTCACTACACACCACTGGCCACAATTTCCCATAATTCCACCTTAATATACACTTTGGCACTCAGGGCACGGTCATGATACTTATTTTTGTGATTCAATGACTAAACAGTTGGTCATCTGTAAATATCCTGTATGGTAAATTACAACTATCCAGAATGTGAGGTGACCAGACTCATTCATTCTCCCACCATTCTGGATAAATTGGACTCACGGTACTTGTCACTTAGATTTGTGTTCCTGGGATCAGGGTTTATGTACACTTAGGTATTTAGGATTGGAGGTAGAGAATACCTTGAGTCATCTTTTCTTCCCTGATTGGTAGGTTTGTGAGGATGCGTCTTTATTTGGGAAATAGAATGAAGGCTTCATCCACGCAAGAAAAACAAAAGCAAAAATAAGCTGATGTGTCCAGGCAGATGTTTGTGTTTGGTAAGGCATGATGGGAGGTTGACATTTCAAGGTGTCTGACGTAAGGGGAGGGTTTTGCGTCCATCTCCTCACTTCCCTGACCTCCTCCCACCCCATGGTGTGTTCCTCCTTCACTCCAATGTTCTTACAAGCCACGGGCGTTTGCTGCCCAGAGGACCATCTGGGGAGCACTTCCTACTTTGGAGCTGAGTAGTATAGAGTTTCATCCTCACCAGGAGGACTCACGTTGTAAAACAGGAACCCAAAAGAATGAGTCACTAATGACAGAACTTCAAATATTAATAGAACCTCAAATATCCATTAGGGCAGGATCAGTTTTGAGTAGCCCTTCCTCGGGGTCTTTCGAGTCAGAATGTCTTCAATCATAAGCAGATAAAACAAGCACCAGAAAAGCTTGAGGTCAGGGTCCTGTGAGATGATAATAGGGTTTTTGAATGCTCGTGTTTCAATTTTGGTTCTTATTGGTTCTGTTGTGATCAACTACTTCTGACAGAGGAAAGCAGACGTATCCAAGGCTGTTTGATCTTTGCAAATGTGCGTCCCCTTACAAAGCTACAAATAATTATTTTTATTGCTGTCAGAAATTGGTTTTCTTTGGGGCTCCTTAAGGTCGGGTATTTTAGTTTTTAAGCCATGTAGAGTATAGTTTGGAAAAGCCACAAGAGTTCTGACAGTGGCAATATTTATTAAGCACTCGTTATGTCTCGCACCACTTCCCAATTATGACTCCACTAGTAGGTTACTCTTTATTATGGTCCCCATGTTGTGAATGAAGAGGTCCAAGGCCATAGCACGTGCATGCTAGATCTGAGCCTTGAACCTACCCTTCCTGACTGTAAGTGTCTTAGCCTCTCACCATGTTGCTTCTGCTGTCCTAAGGTAGCTTTCCCACCGAGGGGAAGGGCCCGGGCACAATGTGAAGGGAAGATGGTTTGCTGACTATGCTAATATAGCTCTTCCTTGCTTTCCAGGTTTTGGAGGTACCCTGGGTTACCTTCTCGGTGCCATGGACTGGACCCATCTGAATCTGGGAAGAGTGCTGGGCACAGAATTCCAGATCATGTTCTTCTTCTCTGCCTTGGTCCTCATTTTGTGCTTTATTATTCACCTGTGCAGCATCCCTGAAGCCCCACTTAGAGATGCTGCGAAGGACAGTCTCCCACAGCAAGCCCCCCAGGACTCTCCATTGTCGTCAGACAGAGTGTACGAGTACGGGTCTATTGAGAAGGTTAAAAATGGTTATGGAAACCCAGGGCTGGCAATGCAGGGAGGAAAAAACAAAAGTCCTGCTGAACAGGTAAAGATGCAAATTCTTCTCTCTTTACTTGAGAAAAACATTCTTGCTCTTGTCCTTCTTATTTTTGATTATTCGTTCTCTGTTTTGTTTGTGTATTTGATGTGAGGAGTTCTGTGAAGTATAACTGAACCTTCAGATCCCCAGTAGCTGTATTGGTCCCATGTGCTATGAGGTTGAGCCTTCAGTCTGAGTCAGTTAGCATTCTGTCTTGTTTGCTAACTTGTCTGTGTCTTCCCATCAAATGATGGGGGCAGGGGTTACCTCAGTCCATTTTCCCATTCTTTTTTCTTTTTCTTCTTTTAAATTTATTTTTCAATCATGGTTGATAGACAACGTTATTATATTAGTTTCAGGTGTACAACATAGCGATCAGACATTTATATGCCTTAGAAAGTGATCACCATGATCATAGTCTAGTACAGCACAGAGGATATAGTCATTTTCTCATTCTTGACACTCACCTCGGTGCCTGGCAGTAGGAAGCCGGCACCAATAGGAAACTGGCAACAGGTGTTCTGTTAGTTGTTTGTTGAATGAGTATAGCAGAAATGGTCATCTGAAATATGGATCTCATTGGAATTTGTTTGGGTGAATAGTGAGTACGATCAGAGTTGCTCAAACTGTGTGCACATTCATTTCTTCAGCAACTATTAACAAAAAGTCTACCGCAGCCAGGGCTCAGAACAGACCCTTTCCCTGCCTCAGAGTTGCCCTCCAGCAAAGTACAACTATTTACATGTTGTCTTACTTTCTTAATGAATGTATGATTTTGAATCATTTTAAAGATTTTATTATTTGTAGAGAGAGAGAAAGAGAGGGAGAAAAACAGGGAGATAAACATCAATCTGTGGTTGCCTGTCACATGCCCGCTACTGGGGACCTGGCCTGCAACCCAGGCATGTACCCTGACTGGGGATCAAATTGGCAACCTTTTGATTCGCAGGCCAGCACTTCATCCACTGAGCCACACCAGCCGGGGTTTTAATTTTGAACCATTTTAAATTCACAAAAAAGTTGCCAAGAGAGTAGAGAGAGTTCCTGTCTTTACCAGCTTCTCCTAATATCTTATACAACCACATTGTGTCAAAACTAAGAAGTTAACCTTGGTACAGCTATAAAGTAAACAGCAGATATTTCTGTTTCATTGGTTTTTCCATTAATGTCCTTTTTTATGTTCCAGGGTCTGATCTAGGATACCACATCGCATTTAGCTAAGTGATTTGTAATGTTTGAAAATTGTGTTTTCTTTCCATGGCATTTCAAGGAGGTATACTTGCTACTTGCAGTCAGTAGAAAACCTCATTTCCATTATCCAACTATGTACATAAATAAAGGCTCTAAGTCTTAGCAGCTAGTTATAAAAGTATATAAATAGTTTTCTCAAGGTTAAGTGCTTTGTTCTATTAGTTGGCTTGGTATTTTCCAAAAATTAATACAAAAGTAAACCTCAATATTGCTTGGGTTCGAATTGGCCAACTTCTTACTTATGTAAGGCCTTTCGAAAGAGCCTTCCATGGCTGTGTGGGAGTTCGGTCCTTGCAGTGCGTCGACCTGCCTCCTGCCATGTCACCCTGGTGAGGAAAGGCAGTGGAAGGGAATAATCTGTTTACTCCATTCCACCAAGAGCTCCTATTTTTGCATGAGTTTTCCATAATAGGAAGAGTATGTGGAGGAAGTAGAAGTTTTGAGGAGGAAGCCTTCATTTGTCTTGATCACACAGCAAATAGAGAAAGGATGAGAGCCCAGGGCTCTGGAGCCCTGGCTAGACCACCCTTCCCACCAGGATGCCTTGAGGGGCAGCCGCACGCCCTGCCCGTCCCTGGCCAGCAGATCAGGACGCTGAGATTACTCGCTGGACCAGAGCCCCCTTGCCAGGCACTTCTGTAAGGCAGCTTGGGAATCCTGGGATATCCCTGTGACGGGACCCGTGTGATCACCCAAAGGTGTGTGTTTTTGAACATTAATTTAAAACATAATATGTCAGGTAACACACACATACACAATGATCTCCATTTTGAGAAAAACTACATACATACAGAGAAAAAAAATAAGATTTGTACCCAAAATGTTAATTGAAATTATTGTCTCTGGGGGATGGGCTCACAGGTGGTTTTAATTTTCTTTTCTAAACACTTCAGTGGATTCAGCATTTCTATAATGGGCAAGTATCCCTCTGAAAGTAAAGAAAAAATGATTTCACAGTTTAAGGAACAAAACCACCGGGTTTTCTGAAAGATAAGTAGACGTTACCCCAGTGGGTTATCATGGCGCCTTGCCCCACTGGCTGGCTGTGACTCAGCAGAGGCTGTTGTGAGGATCCAATGAAACCAGCGAGTGGGAGCCTTCTGAAAGGCATAAAACCCTCCACACTGAGAAGAAAATAAATACATCAAATGCAATTAATTTTCCAGCACAGGCCTCATACACAATATCGCAGGCTCTGATTGGTTTCATTATTTGCTTGAAAGTAAAAAACCAGAGCAACCGAACAGCCGACTCTTCTATTCCGACTCTGCACCCTGGGAGCCTCTAGCTGACACGGCCAGAGGCCTCACCCACATTGTTTGTCAAAGCCATTACTTCCCAAAGACAGGCTGGCTTTGCAATTTTATTTTATTTTATTTTTTAATATATTTTAGTAATTATGCCATTACAGTTGTTCTATTTACCCCCTTCATTCTTCTCCACCCTGCACACCCCCTCCCCCACCATTCCCCCCTTTAGTTTATGATCACGTGTCTCAAGTTCTTTAGATTCTATATTTCCCCTACTATTCTTGCCCTCCCCCTATCTATTTTCTATCTACTGTCTATGCTACTTATTTTCTGTACCTTCTCCTTCTCCCACTCCCGTTGCTAACCCTCCATGAGATCTTCATTTCTATGGTTCCGCTCCTGATCTAGCTGTCCTCTTAGTTTGCTTTTGTTTTAGGTGTGGTTCTTAATAACTGTGAGTTTGCTGTCCTTTCACTGTTCATTCTTTTTCTTAGGTAAGTCTCTTTAACATTTCATATAATAAGGGCTTGGCGATGATGAACTTCTTGAATTTGATCTTGTCTGAGAAGCACTTTATCCGTCCTTCCATTCTAAATGAAAGCTTTGCTGGATAGGTCAACCTTGGATGTAGGTCTTTGGCTTTCATGACTTGGAATACTTCTTTCCAGCCCCTTCTTGCCTGGAAGGTCTCTTTTGAGAAATCCACTGACAGTCTGATGGAAACTCCTTTGTAGGTGACTGTCCCCTTATCTCTTGCTGCTTCCAGGATTCTCTCCTTCATTTTAATCTTGGCTAATGTAATGATGATGTGCCTTGGTGTGTTCCTTCTTGGGTCCAACTTCTTTGGGACTCTCTGAGCTTCCTGGATTTCCTGGAAGTCTATTTCCTTTGCCAGAACGGGGAAGTTCTCTTTTATTATTTGTTCAAATAAGTTCTCCACTTGTGGCTGTTCCTCTTCCCCTTCTGGTACCCCTATAATTCAAATGTTGGAATGTTTAAAGATGTCCTGAAGGTTCCTAAGCCTCTCCTCATTTTTTTGAATTCTTGTTTCTTCATTCTTTTCTGTTTGGTCATTTTTTCCCTCTTTCTGGTCCACTCCCTTGATTTGAGTCCCAGTTTCCTTTCCATTACTATTGGTTTCCTATGTATTTCCCTTCATTTCAATTAGTTTAGCCTTCATATGTTCCTCTAATTTGTGACTAAAATCAACCAGTTCTGTGAGCATCCTGATCACCAGTGTTTTGAACTGTGCATCTGAAAGTTTGGCTATTTCTTCATCACTTAGATTTATCGGCTCTGGGGCTGTGAGTTGTTCTTGAGCTATGTTTTGATCTGTTTATGCCTGTTACCCATGAGGAGCGGAGCCTTAGGTATTCACCAGGGCAGGGCCACCCAGGTCACTGGGTTGTGACCCTGTATGTGGGGGCGGGGTCAGAGAGGGAGCAATGGTGGTTCCCTCTGCCACTTCCCACCACTGGGGCCTGCACGGTCTGTCTCACCACTCGCTCCTTCACCAGTTTATCTGCACGCGGATGTGTGACGGCAATCAGCCCTCAGTGGGTCTGCCCACTTCTCCACACCTGGGATCCACCCACTGCTGCTGTTGCACCTGGGTCACGTGCCTGGGTTGGTCTGGTGGATCTTTTCTGCCTGACCCTGCTCTGCTGCTGGCTCTGCCCCTCTTACCGGTTTGGCCGAAGGGTTCATTGTTGTCAGACTTCTGTGTAGTTCAATTTTCTGTGGTTTGGCTGTGTTTTTGTTGCTAAAACTTTGTTGTTTTTAAACTTAGTTGTGCGAGAAGGCACAGGGCTTCCACCTACGCCTCCATCCTGGTGGAAGTCCTCTGGCTTTGCAATTTTAAAGGTGGGATTTTTTTTTTTAATGGTGAAAGGACTGAATCATTTTAGAGTTCAAACCTTAAAATTCCGACCATGAAATTCCCCCATGCCATCGTTACTCCCTTCAATGTCTCAGCAATTTCCTTTTGCACGTGCCCCTGTGAAGTTCTCTTCCCCACTGATGGCTCTGTGCCTTTCCACTTACAGACCCATCGCCCCCAATCTCCAGTGGGCAGAGGCGCACCGTGCGTGCAGTCCATCTGCTCCCAGGGCTCAGAACCAGTGAAAGGGCGTTGCCAAGGGAGCCAATGGGTTGGACAATGAGATGCCGGCTGAATTTTCACTCTGAGCTAAAGTACCTGGAGCAGCTTTGAATATTTAAGTTCCCTTCTTTTGCAGGGATACTAGGCACAGTTTGAAAACTCATTTATTTTTGGAAGAAAGGAAAAATTAGTTTGACAATGAAAACAGGTGAAAATTATGTATAAGGGAGAAGCATACCATATTTTGCTGTGTATAATGCGCACTTTTTTTGCCCAAATTTTTGAGGGAAAAACTAAGGATATGCATTACACAGGGGTAGTATGAATTCTGTATCTGTGTAAATGTTTTTAATTCTTTTATTTATGCTCATGCATGAAAAGTGTAACTCTAAAAAAAGTTTAACCCTATAAAGGAATAACAATTATCCGTATGCAAAATAATACCCTGGAATACCATCATCGGTTTTGTTTCTAAATATAAATAAATAAATTAATAAATAGAATCAAAAATTAAAACAAAAGATTTTTTTCCCTGAAAGTTTGTGCCAAAAAATGCATGGGTACAATATACCCATGCATTGCACAGTACCCATGCATTGCACAATATACCCATGTATTGCACAGTACAATATACACGGCAAAATAAATTAACAATTGGAATGAGGCTGAATACTTGCTGGTCAGATTCACGTCATAAAACTTTGCATTTTGGTTGGAAGGGAAGGAACATGAGGATAAAGCTCTTAGTCTAAGGCATGGCGATCAGGCTGCTGTGCCTTTGGCAGCCTCTTCCTGTAGTCGAGGGGAAGGCAGTCATTCGGCGTGGAGGTATGTTGTGCTCCCCATTTATTTCGACCGTTGCCATATTGCATATGCAGAAAGCACTTGTTTCCTAACTCAGAGGGAGTACTCTTCAATGTAAGGAAATCAGTTTAGTCATGTCAGTGGATTAAATACATAAAAATGATGAATGCAATAAAAATAAATTTATACAATAAAACTACCGTGGGTAAATACAATTTTCTGTGACAAGGAACTAAAAACCATTGTCACATTAGGTTGAGAGCTATAAACACAATTTGCTGTTAATGTTAAAACAGAAAATCTCAGGAGACTATCTTGTAAATAAACTAGCCAAGGTTCAATTTCATTATGTCAAGATTCAGAATAAATAAAAATCTGACAAGAAAGACCCGTAATCCCAGCATGGTTGATATTTATAGTCCCAATGCCTCCAGGGCAGCCGACTGCTTAGTATTCCTGAGGTTTCTTTCTTCTCTTATACAACAAGATATTGAAGGCTGTTTTATTCTTTGTATTTTAAAATAGCTGTGTCAATAGTTCAATTTGTTTTATTCTCCCTTAAGGCTCCTGATACCAAAACATGAAAGCTTCTAATTTTACATAATTTTAGTTTAAAGAACTTTCGTCATATGTATTCATTGTGTGTGTGTGTGTGTGTGTGTGTGTGTGTGTGTGTGTGTTCTACAGTGTTCTCACTTCTGGCCCAACATAGGGTGTATTTCCATGTGTTGGCTGATCCATGAAAAGACACTGGGAGGAGGTACCTGGCCAAGAGCAGGGAGTCAATTAGCTCTTCGTATTGGTTTTCTATGGCTACATAACAAATTTCCACAAATTTGGCTGCTTAAAACCACGCCAACTGATTATCTCACAGTTCTGTAGATTAGCAGTCTAGGGGTTCCACTGCATTCTCTGCTCGGGGCCTCGAAGGGCTAAGATTAAGGTGTCCGTGGAGCTATATTCTCATGCTACAGGCTCAGTGAGGGAGAATAGGCTTCTGAGCTCATTCAGGTAGAATCCAGTTCCTTGGGGTTGTAGGACTGAGGTTCCTGTTTTCGTGCTGACTATTGCTTAGCAATCATTCTCATTCCCTAGAGGTCACTCTCAGACTCTTTCCATGTGGCTCTGTTTACCTTCAAAACTAGCAATTTTCATGCTTCGAGATGCTCTGACTTCCCTTTCTGCTCCCAGCTGGAAAAAACTGTCTGGTTTTTAAAAGCCTCATGTGATTTGGTTAGGGTCACCCAGATGAACTCCATTCTGATGAACTCAAAGTCCTCTGATTAGTAACCTCAATTATACCTGCAAAATCCCTTTGGCAGGTAATAATACATAATGAGGCAACAGTAAGAGAAATCATAGGCCTCTTAGAATTTGGTCTATCTCATTTTCAGAGTCCAGAGATCTAAGAATTATAATGATCTGTGAGCTTTGTCCGCATGCAGTGGTTCTGTCATCAAAGATAGAATGCTAGATGTCTCTTGTATCTCTTGTATCTTAGCTCAAAGCAAGCTCAATTTCCAGCCCCTTTCCCCTCAGGCCCCCAAAGCCCTGTTAAGTATCTACATGTGCTTAACAGCTCCTAGATACCATGCTGTGGAAACCTCAGTGCCGTGCACAGAAAAGGTGACTCTGTGTGATGGTCGAGTGACAGATATGTCACATGGCTGTGTGCTCTGGCTCCCACAGCCGGCTGTGTATTTGCACTGAAGGTCTCACCTGTTTCATGTTTATTCCAGACTCAGAGGAGAATGACCATGAAGTCACTGCTGAAGGCACTGGTGAGTATGCCTCCCCACTACCGCTGCCTTTGCATCAGCCACCTCATTGGATGGACCGCCTTCCTTTCCAACATGCTGTTTTTCACAGATTTCATGGGCCAGGTAATGAGCATGTCTGCACACACACGCAGTGACTCGCACATCCGTCTTTCAGGCAGTGCCTGTGGCACTGCTTCTGGGCTAACCTCTAGAGTGTGGGAAAGCATACTTGTAAGGAGCTGACTTACAGACAGGTGCTAGAGGCAAGTTACAACACCCTGGACAACTAGAGGATTCTACGGGACCAGTACTTGATCAAATACAACAAAGAGGGAAAAATCAGTGGGAGCTTTAGCAGTCATGGCTTAGTAAAGGAGGTGTGGTCTGATCGAGGCTTTGAAGGGTGAGCAGGAGGAGAGGAAAACACGTACTCCCAGCAGGAATAGGAGTGGCACTTGGGGAGATGCGCCAGAGCCTGTTTGGCTGTACCAGAAATGGGCGACAGGGCAGCGTAAGTCGAGTGCGGCCAGCTGTTGGGTAGAAGGAGGGATGCTGACGATCCAGAGACGTCAGTTGAGAGTTGATCTAGTAGCAGTGGGACTTCCTAAGGGGCCCTGGGTAGCGGGGTGAAAGGATGGACGAGTCACGTGGTGGTGGGAGGAGGAGCTCCATGTCCCAGGAGGGGCCCTGGCCGGGCCACGCTGCTCCCCGGGGTGGAGAAACAGTGTATGAGAAGGGGCCCCTACCCCCCACACCTGTAGCGCAACAGCCCCATCTCTCCCTCAGATCGTGTACCATGGGAACCCCTACAGCGCGCACAACTCCACGGAGTTCCTCGTCTATGAAAGAGGCGTGGAGGTCGGCTGCTGGGGCTTGGCCGTCAACGCCCTCTTCTCCTCCCTCTATTCTTGTGAGTCTCCTCCTAAGGGCGTCTTCTGAAGGGCTCTGGGCCGGGGGAATGTTGGATTTTATCTTTCTATGCATATTTTTTGCATTTTAAAATACCAGATTCTTGATAAATATATGGAGATCAGGGAAAACTATTCCCTTAGAAAAAAACCACAAGACATATCCTTAGTGAATTCTAGGTGTCATTTTCCTAGCGACTACTTTGTCCTTATAATCAGTGCATGGTCAAGGTTCTCTGGAAAATAATAGGAAATCTTGCAAACAAGAGAGTGAAGTGTTGGATTGACGAGAAGTAGTGTCCTGGCAGGGTGTTAACTAACAACAGGCCTGTGTTCTACTGGGCGGATGTCCCTGAAGGCATTTCATAGATGCACTTATCAGATTTGTAGATGACACAGTGGCAGGTGACGAGATGAACATGTGAAATGACCTTACCCTGGGCAGACGGGTGTATTATAGGACTGCTGTTCCATTGAGGACTCTGGCTTACCTTCTCGTGCCCCGGCTTTTCGTGGTTGTCTGAAGGCTGTTAACTCCCCACTTAGTGAAGTTTCAGCTGTGAGGACACTATAAACAAAGCGGTTTCTGTGACCAGTTTTAAATAAGTACCAGCAGATGTACCCCAACTCTAGGGCATCACACGGGCTCGTCTTGTGCTTGCTAATGTGTATGGAAATCTCCAAGCTCTGTGTACATTGAATTAAGTGAAAATTCTTTGCCTATAAAATATATGCCATCTGCCCAGAAGGTATCCAGCAATGTAATATGAAAGACAGAGACATTGAAGAAGATGCAAGATACGAGAAACATTGTACACAGGACAGTGACTCCTCAGTCCCCTTCACATCAGGCACCTTGGGACATCACACAGTTCTCCCAGCATCTCTCCCACTGTTCAAAACACTCTGCAAAATCCTTTGCTGGGTTCTCCATCAGCAGCCCCGTCATATCTTCCCCAATCGCATGAGCAATCTGAAATCTCTTCCCTTTCAAAGGCGATTCTAGTTTCGGGAAGAGCCAGAAGTTGCAGGGTGTCAAATCTGGGCTGTAGGGGGGCTGAGTCATCTGCATGATTTCATATTTCTCCAAAAATCTCTGCGGAAGATGTGATGCGTGAGCAAGCACATTGTTGTGGTGAAGCTGCCAACCGCTCATTGCATTGTCCCCGAAAGCCTTCTGAATCATCCGGAAAGTTTCCACGGAGGAATGTTGAAGCTTAATGCAAAATTTGATACAGATTCGTTTCTCTACTCCCTCAGTCATTTTGAATGTGATGGCCACACAGTACACATGCTCACTGACCAGTATCTACCACCCCCACTGACTAGTATAATGAAGTCATCATTGTTCACGCATCTGTATTCCAGTCCACTCTCCTTGCTTACTAGGTTACCTTATTGTTGTGCCAACTATTTTCATTTTATTAACAGTGGCTACACTTTTTCCAGACAGACCTCATATGCAGCCCTTGCCAGGTAGCTCAGTTGGTTGGAGTGTCATCCTGAAACACCAAAGGTGTGGGTTAGATCCCCAGTCAGGGCACATACAGGGGTCAACCAAAGAATGCATAACTACGGGGAACAACAAATCAATGCTTCTCTCTCCTTTCCTTTCTCTCTCTAAAATCAATAAATTTAAAAAATGCAGACCCCCCCCATTTGGAATGGATCCCCCTTTAGCATTGTGAGAAGGATAGCTTGTCCCCTATGCAGAGAGCTCTAGGTTTTGCACAGGCCCTGGGGACAGCAGGGCATGGCCCAGGCTGGGGAGGGTTGGCAGTGGGGGGCAATCCCTGTTATCGTTCTCAAGGGCATTCTGTCATTGAAATGTGCTTGTAGGGGGGTGATGGTGGACTTATGCCATGACCCTGGTTGGCCTTCAGCACTTTACCTGGCCTTGGCCCAGCAGGAAACCTGCTTTGAGATCAAGAGCCTCTCTTCAAAATGTAGCACAATTGGTAAAGAGGACCTGACATGAACGTGTAAGGAATTCTTGAGCCCAGTCATCATAAAACTACAGAGTTCATTATTTTTAAATGTTTTATAACCAAGCACTGGTGCTTAAAGCTTACATTTTCTTAGCACATTTTTGTCCCTTCAGAATATGTGAACTAAGAAAATTCCAGGAAGAAAATTTTAAGTACTTAAAATAGAATCTGGGAGCAATGGACTACAGAGTCCAATAATCCCCCTCAATCCTTCTGTGCTTTGAAGAGGTGGGGGGGATCTATTCCTGACTACCCTCATTCTTGTAAGAGGAACACATTCGTCCCCAAGTAATTACCATTTTAATTTTGTGTCAATTTTAACTTTTTTCCCCAGAGAATTCCTACTAGTGAGCATAAGTCTAGTTTGAGTTCCTGTATGAATTTCATGGCATTTGAAAATTTAAAAGAATATTTTTTCAGGCCCTTTCTATTTAACAGCCCCATGCAGAACATAAACTCTTACTTGAATAGTCTCATCAAAGTTAAATTCAATGGCATGTGTAAGCCTCCGATACCAACTAGCCCTGCGTAAGGGTCTTCAGGGGCTCCTGATGCCCACAGGATGCAGTCTATGCCCTGAGCCTGGCAGCCCAGGAGGGAGGCCCAGTGCACTCTTCCACTTCTGCCACTCCCACTCAGGGGAGCTGCCCCCAAGACTCACCACAACGACTCCCTCATCTCTGTGTGTTTGCTACTCTTTCGGTTTCTTTCTCTAACCGAACTGCTCTTCCTACCTCCCCACCTAGACATTCCTAGTGATGCCTTTAGACCCAACGCAAATGTGACCTCCTCTGTGGACTCTTTCACGGCTTTCCCCCCGCACCCCTCCCCTTCCTAGGCAAAATCGACCCTTTCCTTCAACTCCAGAGCACACTGATAACCCTCTATTTGGAGCTCATCACATACCATCAGATGCAAATTTAAAATTTCTATCAGGGTGGAGTTCGGCAATCTGGCTGCTGGGGTGGGACTGGGGCTTGTTTTCAAGCTCCTTTGCAGAGCCAGCATTCTTAGATCAATGAGAACAGCAACACCGAGTACCAACAGTTCATGTCATACGCCAGTATTCACAGCTGCTGCGTAAAGCTGTTGTCCGCCTCCAGCCCTCACTAGGGACACAGGGAGGGCATGACCACTGTGGTATCTGGTCAGTGCAGCCTTTACATTCACTGACTCCTCTTCGTGAGTGAAGCGTTTTGTGCCAGACTTACAGTCTTTGTGCTAAAGGGACTCCCGTCTCCCAGTATCTCTTTATCCTTCTTTGCCTTTTTCGTGGCTGGGCTCTATGTGCGGATAAAGAGAGTTTCCCTAATGAATATTAGGGGTATCTTTTAGGTACTGGGACACCTCAGATTACATATGCTGCATAAATGTAATCATTAAGCAAACAACAACAGCCCTAGCTTCAAACTGTCCTCATTCTCTGCCTATGCCACACCCTTTGTCTTCCACGGATGACCTGCAACTGTGTTTAGTTTCATAATTGATTCAAATGTCCTACAGATTGGGGTTTTTGTCTGTGCAAAGTATACCCAGTAATTATTTGCATAATATGGACAGTCTCACTCTTGACTAGGCACATTCCAGTAGCTACGTATCAGTTACTCCCTGGGTTCTTGTGACCCATACACTGGGGCAGGGGAAGGATAAGGAATGTATGAATTAAAAATGACCGATTGAAAAGGGAAGGGGTTTTCCCTCCATTGTGGAAAACAACATAAAATATTTTAAAGCAGAATTTTCCATTTGTAAGAATGAACTCGACCATAATACCTTTGTGAGCAAGCCAAGTTGACCTGCCGGGAAGGAACCCAAGCTAAGAGTCAAGCATCTTGAAAAAAACCACAGCCACCATCAGCTGGGGGTCTTCTATGTGCTCGGCATTGGACTGGGTGATTTCAGACATTTTAGCTCATTGGATGCTGACAGCAGCCCCCTCCCCCGATAGGGCTTTATTAGTTCCATTTTTCAGATGAGGAAGCTGAGGCTTTGCGAAGTTCAGGAAGCTGTCCACAGAGAGCGAGGGAGCTGGTGATGGGAGGAGCTGGGGCAGTGGGAGGGGCCGGCAAGTCAGGGCAGGTGTCTGCAGATGGTGCACATCTTTACCTCCCTCTTGGGTGTGCAGACGGCACTCAGGTGGGGGCGAAGCAACAGACTGATGGGTCATTCTGTAAGATCTGGTTCTAATTTCCTCCAAACCGCCTTTGGGCCACTGGGCCCAGCGAGGCCTGGGTTATTATTTGGGTCTGTTAGGCTAGATCCCTGTGAGTCAGAGTGGCCCCCACTTTTCTCCCATGTCCTGCAGCCCCGGGGTCCAGAGCCAAGGCCGGCTTTGCACCACCTCTCCTGCGTCCCGTTGCCACTCAGCTGTCTGCTGAACAGTGCCCGGTCCTTCCCTGTGGGAAAGAAAGTCCCCCTTGCAAGCAATTTCTAGTTCTGCTTTACTCAAGGGACTTAAGACTGATTTCAGAGCCAGCTGTTTCCAAGCACAGATGAGGAAGGTCTTTTGTTCCTTTCTCAGTATCAAAAGGGACCCCTCTGAAGAAAAAAGTGAACCTTCAGAAGAATGGATTGTGTGAAGTTATTAGCGTTGTGAGCCTCTCCCAGCCGTAATGTCTCCCTCTCTTCTTCCTACAGACTTTCAGAAAGTGCTGCTGTCCTTCATTGGATTGAAGGGTCTTTACTTCACGGGGTATTTGCTGTTCGGCCTGGGGACGGGACTTATCGGGCTCTTCCCGAATGTCCACTCCACCCTGGTGTTGTGCGCTTCTTTCGGTGTGATGTCCAGCACCCTGTACACCGTGCCCTTTAACCTCATGGCCGAGTACCACCGCGAGGAGCAGGAGGAGCAGGTGCGCCATGGGCATCTGCACTGGGTGACTTCAGACTCACCTGAGGGCTGGGGGATTTGGTAGGAAGGTGTAGGCCAGAGCTGGGAAACAGGGTTCTTGAAAGAGCAGCACTAAGACACTCAGCCAGATGTGATGATGGACTGGCCAAGCCACGACCGCCTGTCCAGCACCCCTGTCCTTACTCTGAAGCCCTGTGCACCTGGGAGGAGGCACCAGGGCAGGTGCCATGACTCCCATCTGTCAGATTAGGAAAAGGGGGCTTTGGTCATGCCGAGGGCTCAGCCCACAATCACACCAAGACACAGAAGGGGAACCCGGGGTTTCTAACAAGTGGCCCACATATCCAAGGCACCTGTGGCATTTCTGGGGCCCCAACTACTGCAACAATCCACAGTGGGGTTTCTAGGGGTCATTGGTTGAGGGTAGGACATGCCCAGGCTGCAATTTCCTTGGAAGTGCAGCTGTTAGTAAGTCAGACCCTGTGTGCACAGAGGCGAGCTGGTCGCAGGAGGTCACCCCCACCGGCTGCCCCGAGGGAGCCCCACTCCATCTCCACCCCAACCTGGAGCTCAGGCTGGGGACAAGGCCATAAATTGCCCTGAAAGAACAACTCGGTTGGGGATTTCTGCGCTAAGACGATCACACCCTCTTATCAAAATATGCAACCTTCCCCCCCCCCCCAAAAGTAGGCTTACGGTCTCTTAACTGGAGCAGTGATGTGAAAACTAGAGAGATAACTTGGTGTTTAGTCCTGCTCAGCCTGAAACTGCAAAAACACCCAGCACACGTCCACAGGGCCACAGGGCTGGCCTTCTTTCTCCGGTCTAGCCTGGCCAGCGCCGTGGCAGGGCAGAGTTGCGCCAGGAGTGAAAGCCTTTCAAACCACAGTGGTAGCTGTCCCTGTGCCCTGGCCAGCACTGTCTGTCCCCAGTGAGCAGTGCATTCAGGGGCTTCGCTGGTAGAGAGACAGCTGACCCTCCGAGGAGAGAGTCAGGTGGTGCTGGGGCAGAAACAGGTGAGCTCTGCACCTGGAGAACCTACGTCAAACACTGGCTCCCCACTCGGTGCTGTGCGCCACGATGTCACTCACTGAGTTACTGAGTATGACTTGAAGTCACTTCACAGACGCAGTGTGTTCACCGGGTGAACCATCACAGTGGTGCACAGAACAGCGCGTCGCGTGGTGGCTACCGCCCTCCACCCTCCCTCCTCTCTCTTCCTGCCTCCCCTCACACCTACCTGGAACCACCCTGAGGCTTTTGTTTATATTTCCAGTGTTTTTTAATGAAAACGAAGCGATATGAATGTTTCCTTATATTTTCCTCTATCGTGAAAGGATAATGTGCACTTTTTTGGCACAATGTTTTTTTCTCACAATAGTATAGGAATCATCATTCCAACTCCCAGAGCCCCAGGTTCCTAACCAATCAAGCGGCAATGATATGCCCGCCTTAGAGAGCTGTCAATCATTAAAGCAACCAGACAGTGTGGGTGCTCTGCCAGCTTACTGCCTAACAAGCACCCACAAAGACTCGAAACGTGGCTGTTAGTATGATTATTATCACGGGGAAGATGGCAATCTGTGCATCTCGGAGGTGGTAAGAAAGGAACAAAGTAACATGTGAAAGGACCGGAAACAACGCCTGCCTGGCACGTGAAAGGCACCCAGTAAACGGCAACATTATCGAACAGCTCAGACCACCATCAAATATTAATGCACTAGCCGAACATTACCCATATTCAGAAAGGCTAGATTCCTTTTTGTGTGTTGCTCTTCTAATGGATACCTGCGATTCAACAGCCTTCTAAAAATGTTTGAACTTTTAACACTAAGGAAGGAAAGGAATGAGCTGTTCATTGAGTTTTTACTATATTGTATTTATTGACCTCCGAGGAAGAGACCGTTTTACACACTTTAACCACTGGACTCCCACAGGTGTTGACAGTGGATACCAGACCGTCTTCTGGGGAAGAGCCTCGGGTGAGGGGCGGGGAGTCTCAGTGACCTTGGGTCAGGGGTTGGCAAACTGGCTCCGTAGCAAAGGTGGCTGGCCGCCTGCTTTTGTACCACCGCTAAACAAAGCATTCTTTCGGAGTTTAAAATGTTTTTTTTTTTAAGTCAATAGAAAGATAATATTCTGTGACCAGTGAAAACAGCAGGAAATTCAAACGACAATGCCCATAAAGCTGTGTTGAGGCCGCCTGGTTTCTGTGCTGCGGCTGCTTTTGGGAGTGTGTCCCATTGGGGTCTTCACAGAAAGGCCACCAGCTTTGGCCAAAGGACAGTTCTGTGTGTCACGTGTGGTCCTTGTGTTTCCCTTGCAGAGGAAGCAGGCCCAGGGAGGGGGCCCGGCCGGCAGCGGAAGAGGGCAGGGCCTGGACTGCGCCACCCTCACCTGCATGGTGCAGCTGGCTCAGGTCCTGGTCGGAGCGGGCCTGGGCTTTCTGGTCAACCTGGCCGGCAGCGTCGCCATCGTGGTGCTCACGGCCTCCCTGGCAGCGCTGATGGGCTGTTGCTTCGTGGCTGTCTTTGTGAGATATGTGGATTAGGTCAATAAAGAGACACGTTCCGTAACCTCAGACACGCGGAGCACAGGGCAGCTCACAGTGCAGTCTTTTCCTGCAATGCTCCTTGGGCTCTTCTTCAGCTGTGCACTTTTGGGGTCCACCTTGCTGTCTACCCGTTGTTATGACTTCAGCTGCAGTAGGGTGCCAGTCCCTCACTTTCCCCCAGCCCTCTGCACAACAGACCCGTATTTCTAGCATTGTGTGTCTCAGGGGACACTGGGCTATGATGCCTCCATTCACCAGTGGCCAAGGGCAAGGTCTTGGGGAAGCCTGAGAAGCAGACTAATTGTACACACGGCCCTTGGATTTTACTCCATGATGTGGTGTTTTTTCCTAACCAGGGGTCTTATACAGTCAGGGGCTCATATATATATGTATTTAATCAAATGCACCAACTCAAAATGCTGCTGGTGATTTATTGTGGGACATTGATTTGCTCACACTGAATTAGTAGGAAACTTGCTCGAAAGCAGTTTATGGTAATTTACGACGTCCTGGGCGAGTCTGCTTGAGTGAGCGTCTCGTGCTGCAGCATCTACCCCCTCACATGGCTCGTTTCATAGACACAGTGAATGTGTTTCTCTCTAGTCTGAACCTCCGTTCCACGCTCTGGAGCCCACAGGGAGGCCTCTGGAGAAACAGCAACCCCATCTCCTGCAGTCTTCTCTTCTCCAGCTGAAGCTGTTTCTCACCAGCCTCCCCAGCCCACTGCTCACTGCTTCTCTCGGCCCAGGCCGTCAGCAGCCCCGAGAGGCAGCATGGTTGGGTTGGGTTGGGTAGACAGACCGTGGTCTTCAGAGCCAGGCTGGGTTTCAGTCCTGGCTTTGCTGCTCCCCAGCGAACTGCCGAATGTCCCCAAGGCACACTGTACATTCGGGTGTTGGTTCCTGCCTCAGAGAGTTGTGACCATTAATAATAACACATAACACTGATAGAGTGCTTGTCGCTCACCCAAAATGTTTCACCCACTTCAACACAGCAGACTTGGGAGTAGAGCTGTTGCTGATCTCAGTTCGTGGATGAGGAAACTGAGGTAGGGAGGCATCGCCTAACTCCTCTGAAGCCTCACAGCTTGTACGTGGCCCAACTGGGCTTTGAACCCCCACACTCAGGTTCTAGGACACTTAGCCAGGAGGCTGGTGATTAGCCTGCACTAGGTAAATGACAGCTATTGTCACTATTTTCAAAGGTCCCACCCTGTTCCCTACACCTCCAGCTGCCCCAGCTCTTCTTGTCTGTCTACCACCCTATCCCAGGCTGCCTGAGAGGGGCGGGACCGAGCTTGGCCCACGTGATTGTACGAGTTAAAACACATGCGCGGGCCCTTTTCCTGCCTCATCTCAGAGTCTGGCAATGCGGTCATTGCCTCAGATGACTTTCTAATTTACCAAAACCTTGAGTGACACCGTGAACTTGGAGAAAGGAAATGAGCAGTTTGGGAAGCAGAGACATCGTGGTCCATGCTGCTGCTTCTGTTGATCTCGCAGGTGGCCGGAAAGGTGGGTGTGGGCGTGGCCAGGCCCTGCAGCACCGCTGTCTGGGGTGGTGGTGCTGAGGACAGGAAGCGTGCTCTGCCTGGTCTCGGGAGGGTCTGGGTTCTCTCTCACACCTGCAGGGCCAGAGCAGGGCCCGCCAAGGAGGGCCCGCGTCCACAGCCCCACCCTTCTCTTCACACCCTCCGCTCTGTGCAGCACGGTGAGAAATTGTTTGCATGCTGTCATTCCCCCACACACGTCACCTGCACACAGTCCCTCTCAGCCACCCTTCCTCACACCTAAGGGTGCATAGCCTCCTGGGCGAGGTCCACCCTCTGGAGGATGGACTAGGAAAGATCCTAGGAAGCCCTGTGAACAGACTCAAGGCCACTTAGTTAACTCTTAGGTCCCAGGCCCCGGAGCACAATCTGGAATGTGAGCACATGGCCTACTGCCCAGCGCTGACTGTGTAAGGCAAGAAGAGGACAAGGTGCGTGTGGAAGGGGACAGAGGATGGTGGCCAGGCCCTGCAGGGCTTGTCTGGGCTCCTCCGCCAGCTTCGTCTCTCCTCCTGGATCGGAAGCCTCCCCTCTCCGAGAAAGCCCCCTGGCCTTTTCTCAGGCTGCCCCCCTGCACTTCTTCCCCATCCTTGCCCCACCTACCTCTTCATTCCTGCCTCCCTCCCCCCATCCCCACACCACCCCCTACGCTCAGGCAGGGCCACTTTGCGGAGACTGCGCCCCCTAGGCCTCAGCTTGAGTCGGTAGGCAGAGCTGCAGGGCAGCGGGTCGAACCCCCCCCCACACACACACACACACTGTAGACCACCACTCCAGGCAGGTAGTAGAGCAGGTCGGGCTCCGCTGCAGGACCGAGAGGCTCCAGGGCCTGCAGACCCTGATCCTCGGGCTCAGGCTTGGTGGTGGCGGTGAACGGGTGCAGGCTGGTGAGCTACAGCGACGCGAGGTGCCACAGCAAGCTCTTGAGCTCCTTTCGGAACTCGTGGAACGCGAGGCTGTGGAGGATGGGTTGGGGTCCCCACCTAAGACCTAAGGGAGTCCAGCTCGCCTGGGGTTCTCTTCCAGGGTGAGAGCGCAGGGCGTTCTTGAGAGGTTTCAAAGCAGAGACTGAAGACACAGCCTAAGAACAGTGTCAAGCGCGCCCCTGGCGTGGAGTTACTCTTAGCTTCTGCTCGGGAGTTCGAGAGCAGAGGAACGCAGCTTCACGGGCGAACGGTCAGCGACCCAGGGTTCTGCGGCCCAGACAGGAGTCTGCTGGTCCCTGCTGCACTACCCACACGTCCCCTCTGCGTCTCCAGCTGCCATTTGGGCACCAGCGCACAACTCATTCTGCGCTCAGGACCGCTACTGGGGGCCGTTCCTTCTCTTTCAAATACGCTTATTGGTTTCTTCAGCTTAGATGAGGCTTCTGTCCTTTGAGAGAAAGAGACAAAGGAGAGATCTGTCTACCTCGCTGGAGGTCTGTCGATGTCGCCCGCGCTGCCTCACCTCTCAGCCTCGGCTGTTGCCAATGCCCAGCGGGTTGCCCGCGGCGCTCTCGCGGGTTACACTCGCCTGCGCGAAGCCGGGGCTGCCGGCTCCCAAGGAGCATGCGTCAACCCCCGGGCGAGAGGGGGCGCTTTCCGAGGTGCTGAACTTCACCGCGCTGGCCGCAGGGGAGGCGGGAGAGGTGAGCAGCAGGCGGAGCCCACTGGCCAACCCTCCTTTCCTTCTTCCAAGTTTCAGGAGGAAACGGCTCCAACATTTATTTTCCTATGTTGCTAGAGTAAGTGTGCTTTGATTTGTGATTCCTTTTTCTTTTTTATTCCCAAACGTATCTATCATATTTTTTTCCTGCCTCACTCCCCCTTTATTTTTAAAATGTCATGGAGTGTGGTTCTAACAATGCACGATGTTCTGCCCACTTTTTAAAAAAGCAATGATCCTGGCTTCTTTTGATGCTCATACCCTAAATCAGACGATGGGCTCTTCCTGAACACACAAGCGCAAGCTACTTTTACTACTTCTTTAATTAGCTGACCACTTTAATTGGGGTCCGATTGTCAGGATTTTCAAGGTTCAAGTGTTGCCCTCTGTTTTGGTATATTCTGAGAACTTAGCTACGTGGAGCATACAATCAGTGAGTCGAGCTCACAGACATCAGATACCACCTGTCTAGCTCTCAGCCCAATGCTCTTCAACAAACAGGTTACCCACATACACCTGCACTTGCTTCGCCTTGGAGCGGTTGGAACGGAGGATTCCGCAGGGCTGTTCTGCATCGCCAGCTCCATTTCTGCTACTATTATGATAATGACTCCTTACCTGATGTTTTTCAGACCAAAGGAAGTAAAGTCTAAGGAATCTTCTACATTCCTTTGAGCAGAAGGAACTCGTGTCAAGCATTTTAATTACTTCTCAAATCGCGCTTTATTTCAATGACTGCTCAACTCCCCTAGTGTAAGTTACACTTTTAAGGGTAGACTTAAGAAACTTGAAGTGTTTTCCTCACTGTCTGGAACTTAACTGAAATAAAGTTTCTTAAGGAAAATTATCCTCAGTCCTGATGGGCTCGTGACTTTACTGACAGAGATAAAGAGGTTGTGACTTTAAATCAGAAGACATGGGAAAAAACTTAGTAAAAAAGAAACATGTTCTCCAAAACATATGAAGGGAAGGGAAATGGAAACAATCTTGATTCCAAAGCAGGAGAACAGTTTCAAATAGAGAACACGCTTCGCTGTGGAATCTGGAATGCTTATCATGCCCGCTAGGGGGCACCAGGGCCTCAGTAAAAACAAAAACAAAAAACCCAACCAAAATCAAACCAAATCACTTCCTTTGAACAGTTCTAATATAGTTTTAAAAGCTCAGCTCTCCAATCAACAGACTGCTCCTGTGGACGCTGCTTATCTCTGTTTTAATAACCTTACCTTCAAGGTCATTTTTCACTTCATTTTTTGCTAGTAATGTCTCTATTAAATTTCCACTCTCTCTCTCTCTCTCTCTCTCTCTCTCTCTCTCTCTCTCTCTCTCTCTCTCTCTCTCTCTCTCTCTCTCTCTCTCTTATATTTCCAGGCACTGCAGAAAAACAAGGACGTCTGGGACACCCCTAAAAGCCCTTTGCCTCAGTTTCCTCATCTGTATATGGGAGGACTTGTGACTCCCAGATACTCTGAGGACAGGTGCTGGGCAGGTGACTCCAGAGCCAGCTGGGGAGCCTGCAGCCCCTCCCAGCCCCTGAGCTGCTGCTTCCCATTGGAGTTGGAAAGGCACCCAAGAATCTATGTTTTATAACACACTCTTCCAGGTGGTTCTAATTTTTCCCCAAGTTTGGGAGCATCTGAACTTTTATCCCTTTTCTAACTCTCCATGTTAAAAAAATTAAGTACCAATGAAGAATAAATGTCCAATGATGGTTTAATGTCCAGTGATGGGTTATCACACAATGGGATTAGAAGCAAAGAGAGAGAGGGGTCTTGCTGAATTTCACTAAAATCACATTTAAGTGCGGCCGGTGACCTTTCTTCATTGTTGG